TTTTGCTGCTCATTTTTGTGAATCAAACAACCGAACAAAAGAAAGAAAACAACCACATTGAACAGAAAGGTGACGGACCATTCTGGCTTATTTCTCATCAAATCTCTCTCATCTCATTTCATTATTGGGTTAGTCCTTTTTATATTCAACATTTTTGCTTTGCTTTGTTTAGCCAGTGATCGACTTTTTCCTCATCAATGAATTTTAACAAAAAACAGAAAAACAGGGAAAAAAACACGTATTTTGTGTTTGAATAGTGAGAATAGGAAAAACACGCGCACATATTTTCTCTCATTCTATCTATGTTTGTTTGCCAAAGCGTCAAAAATCGTTTGCCGTTTGATGATTGAACTGAAAACTGGCCAAAAAAAAAGTGAACATCAAACTATGAATCTTAGTTTGGAAAATGAACATACAATTACAATGTTTGTTCAAATGCTTATGACGATGATGATGATGATGATGGGTTGGCCTTTGACGAACAACAACCACCCGATAGATCTATCTAATTGGATTTTTACACAGGAAAAAAATATTTTGATGAAAAATTGTCATGAATTTATCCTTGTGCAAGATTCGATTCGGTATATCAGAATTTTCTGTCAAATCATTCGATCGATCGATTGATCTGTATTGATCTTTCAAACATTTTTTGTTTTTGTTTTTTTCTACATTTCATCATGATTTATCAATAATTTATTGAATGATCATCATGATGATGACCTGTATGAAAAATTTATGGAAAAATTCACAGAAAAAAAAAACGGTTTTGCCAGAAACTTTTTTTTGAATCCAATTTTGCACAAGGTCAAGGCACAATGGGAAAAAAGAAGACGAAGAAGAAAATCAGTTTATTACGGTTATTTTTTTTGTTATTTTCGATTGAGAAACGGAGAAAAGAAAATTTGGAAAAAAACAAAATTTGAAAAGAAAAGAAACGCTAAATGCTGGGGAGGTAACTAGCAAACCAAACCAGCAAATCATCCAACCAACCAACCAGTCAAATAAACTTAACACAATGGGGGAAATGATTATCAAATGTGAATAAGACAATTTAAAACGTCAGTTTTTTTTCGTTGTTCGTTGTTTTGTTTGAATTTGAATTGAATTGGCTTTGAATACAATTTACCCAAGCTAATCCCAATATGACTTGACGACTACATAGTGTTTAAAAATTTATATAAATAAAGGTCAAACATGTGTTTGGTTGGGTCCAGAGAAGAAAAACCAAAAACGAAATTGAGAACAAAAAAACAACCAGAAAAAAAAGAAAAAAACGTTTTGGTTTAAGGTTGGGTGTTTTTTTTTCTGAATACCACCATCACCATTATCTGCCAAACAATATGATGAGAAAGGGGAGAAGGAAATTCCACATAGAAAAAAAAATCAATCGAATATTGATGGAATTAGCGAACGACAACGGAGAAAAAACGTGAGACACATTGGTGGAACAATATTTTTGGGAACGAACTAAACGAACGAAAAGCTTATTACATTTATTTATTGATTCACAAGTTATGGAACATACAATATTTCCACTGCTAAACACAAAGAACAATAAAAACAGAAACAAAGCGAAAGTTTTGGGAAGATTATTTTGGATTTGTTCAGTGTTTCAAATACCGAAACTCATTGAATGTGAATTCAATCAATAAGGAACAAAACAACAAGCTTTTTCTTTTCTCTTACTAAACAAGGAATTATCATTCATAATCGACAATAATCGACTTAGATTAAATGTTTGTTTTTTTTCTAAATAGATCTTTAATTGTCGAACGGATGGATCCGCGGATACCCAAACAAACAGACAAAAGAAAAATATAGATTTCCAGCCGGGTATTTTTAAATGAAATAAAAATGGTTTTTCTGTTGTTTCCGGAAAACCAAAACAAAACGAAAAACAAATTTGCAATCATCATCATCAGGATCAATTGGGAAAAATGAATGAATGAATGGTGAATGGCGTGGGTGGCCTTGCTAATAAAAGTTTTTCTTTCTTTTTTTTCTCTGAATTGAATTGAAAATTGGAAATTGGAAAATAAATAAATAAAACAAACCATCATCCATAAATCTATCAATTAACAATTTTTGTTTTCATTCGTTCGTTAAATTCGTTCTTTCTTATTATATGGTGTCTATCTATATATATTGGACAAAATGATATATTTCTGGTTTGAGAACAGTGTTTTTGTTTGTTTTGTTTGTAAAACTCGCAAAACACACACTTAAATAGACTTTTTGGTTGGCTTTACAATCGATATACTAAATGGATGATAAGGAAACTAACAAGCTAACTAAGCAACAGAGAGAGCCACCACAAGTGAGATTTTTTTTGCTCGAGTTTTTTTTATGATGGGCCAATAAAATGAAATAAAAATTTTTTTTAAACACCATTCAAACCAAGTAGCCAATAATAATAATAATAATGATGATGATGATGATGATAATTGTGTAATAACAACAAAATAGATAAAAATGATACTTGGGTCAAAATAGTTTGGACTAATAATAATAATAATAATCGATCGATAATTCAGTGTGAATAAGTGTGATTTATTATTGAATTTTTGAATTTTTCACTTTGGATATGGATGGAAAATTTTTTTCTATCCTCACATCAAAATCCAAGATTTGTTGTTATTCAAGCAGCAGTGTACCTGTGTTGTTGTTGCACACACAGGTAAGTAAGGTAAATATTTTTTCATCATCATCCATGATTGCACTGTACAAACAAGTGTTTTTTTTTGTTTGTTTCAGGTCGATTCAATCAAACAACAACATAGGTATGTTTCTTTCACCATTCACCATCGTCAAATAACGAAACGAAAAAAACATGAAAAATCAGTTTTTTAAAAGAAGAAAAAAGCTGACCATCATCTTAAGAATGAAGAAGATAAAACTGATGATGAGGGCCAATGGTACTTTTTTTCATTTCTTCATCTTTGGTTATTTTTTTCTTCGAAAAATTCGAAGCCAGTGTTGTTTTTGACTTCGGGGCATTCTTTTTCTTTTTTAACAATTCACCACCACAGTGGTGGCTAGTTGATCATCATCATCATTCAAAACTTCATCTTTTTCATCATCATCTTCTTCTTCGTTGTTTCATGTTGATCTTTGATGATAATTCGTTCCATAGCAAGCATTTCATTTCATTTTTTTCCTCAACTAACAAACAGCAAGCAAGCAAGCAAGCGAGAAACACCGAGAGAAAACAATTCCTTCCTTCATCTTCATCATCTTTAAGATTTGAGATTTTTTTTCTTGTTCTCTGTGGAAGAAACCAGCATGTGTGAAGTGAAGAAAAAAGAAAATAATAATTTTCTTCAAGGAAAATATTGAACAAGCAACAAACAACCAACCAAAAAGGAAAACAAAAAAAAATATGAAATAAGCTGCTGTTGCTGCTGCAAGATTTCCAGATTTTTTCAATGTTTCTCGATGAAGACGAAGAAGAAGAAGAAAACAAACGTTTACAATTAATCATTGATCGAATGATTTCAACTTGTTGTTGTTGTTGATGATAATGATGATCGTTTTTTCAAAACAAAACAAAACAAAGCAAACTCTCTCTTTGATTGTTCATTATCCTTATGACTGATTTTTCAGTTATTCAGAATGAACAATTTTTTTCAGGGCAAAAAGTTTGTTCCGAAAATTTCTTCACCCCCAAACAAAGTGATTGTTGTTAAGAGAGCTAAAATCAAATTGAAACTTGTTGATGTTTTTGTTTCTTTCGATTCCATAAACAAAACCAAAAGCAGAATTTTTGTTCAATGTTTATTCAATTTTCCAAAAACAAAAACAACCATGGTTATGTGTTTGTGTGTGTGCTATACGCGATAATATATAAAACCGACAAAGGCAAAAATAAAAAGACCCCAACCAAAACATCACCAATTTGTATAAAATACCGGCGTTGTTGTTGCTGTTTTTTTGATTAGATTGGATTGAAGTGTTTATGGCTTTTCTCTCTTTCTCTCCTCGTCTCTCTGATGATTGGCAATAACAAAAAATTAGGTAAATTTTTTCATTTTAGCTATGCTACCTGCTATACATTACTACCTGTATTTACAAACCATCAATCGAAAAAAAAAGAAAAGAAAACCAGGTTTAAACTCATTTATTATTGTGGATTGTGGATTTTTTGTTATTCAATCAATCAATCAAGTAGGCAATCAAAGAGGTTTTTTCTTTCATTCAATTTTTTTCGTTGTTTGAAAAAAACATTTATCGATCTCTCGAAATTCTTTTAGCCAAATGAAAAACAGGAACAACAAAAACCAAGGTGTGTGTGTGTGTTAATTGTGTGATGTGTTCAGAAAAGCCAAAAAAAAAGAAAAGCAATCAATAGGTCATCAAGGAGAGCACTTGACTTTATCCCCCCCACCATGTGCTTTAATCTAAATTTTTGGCTTTGGATTTTTTTTTTTTGCTTATTTGCGATAAAAAAATTCTTTTAATTTAGCCAACATTAACATCAATAACAACAACAAAAAGTATTTTATTAAGAAACCGACAACCACATCATTTTTATTCAATCATTTTTCTGTTTTCAAGATAAGATTTTTCGTCGACTTTCTTGATGCTGATGATGACCTTTTTTTTCCATATCCAAAAATCAAAAGCAAAAAAGTTTGATTTTTTTTTTGTTTCGGTTTTTAGCAAGATAAAAGCCAGTCAGCCAGCCCAATAACTTGTTATTTGGTTTATGTTGTGTGTGTGTGTTTGTGTTAACCTGCTAAAATGTCTGTAAATACAAGAAGAAACAGAAAATGTTTTTCGTGGCTTTTTGCCATTTGATTCTTTGATTCAACATCATTTCTTTCCATTTATGATGATGATGGTGATAATGATAAAATGCTGTTAGGTTTATTTACGACATTTTAATATATTTTGGTGACATTCTCTCTCTCACACACAACAAAATGTTTGATATTTACAAATCAAACATCGATAACAAACAAACAAAAAACCGAAAAAAATTGGATCATTTGAGGCAATAGAGGTAGTAGGTGTTATATGTTGTTTGTATTATGTGTTTTGTGTTTTTTCCGAAAAAAAACAAAACTTACCGAATAACAAACTTGATGATCAGGTGTTGATGCACTATCCGAATGATGACCATGATCAGATGAACTACCACCACCATTTCCACCACCATTTCCACTTCCACCACCACCACCACCGCTACAATTTCTTCCACTCATCATACCACCATTTGATGATGATGAACCACCACCAATACCAATACCTGGTGGTCCACCACTACCATTACTTGAACTATTATTATTATCAACAAGATCGGGTTTTGTATCTCGTTCATCGATAACTAAATCGATTGGCATTTTACCCTTTAAACAGCTTATATAACGTTGACAAAAATTGTCACATAATTCATGTACCTATGAAAAATAATAAAAAAGAAAATTAGAAAATTAGAAAATTATTTACTTAATTACAAAATACAAAAAACATCTATTAATAACCCAAATCAAATCAAATCGTCAATATCTTCCCCACTAATATCATCATCGAAACATCGAAATTTGATAAACAATTTTTTTAGCCTATTCGAATGAAAAAGAACATTGCTTTGCTCATTGCAGATATCTGAAAGATGATAAAAAACCCAGGCAAGCTTGTTTTTTCATCACAGAAATAAATAGATTCAAATAAGGATGAAAGAAAAAATATTTTTGACACGGATCACAAGTTATCATCATCTGATCAATTCTTCTTTTCTTGTTTGACCTGATTTGATTCTTGACAGGCCAAGAAAGGAAAAAAATGTATGAATTTTCTGAGAATTTTTTTTTTCTTTGAAAATTATAAAGTAAAAAAAAAATCATCGAATAGTTAAATAAGATCAACCAATAATATATGTTTGGTGTCGAGAATTGAACAAAAAAGAAAAGAAAAAATTGTTGCTCGTTTGAGCATCATCATAATAATCATCATACAAAAAAATGATGATTATTATGAACTGACAAGTTAAATCAAGTCAACCATACAACCATTGTCGATTCAACAAAAAAACAAGCCAATTGACAATGAAATGTTAATAATAATAATAAGCCTATAGAGTGATTCAAAACTAGTGATTACCCTATCTATTTATCTCTCTCGATTGATTGACAAGTAAAGTAAAATGGTCCAATGAACCAGAGAGAGAAAAAGATGAAAACACCTAACTACCATTTATAATAAACATTTTTTTGGCGAACAAAAGTTCAAAGGTAAACCAATCAATTGATCAGGTTTTTTCTTTTTTTTGTTGAAAATTTAGATTTTCCAATCAACTTAACTTAGTTTTCGATCAATTATTTTTGGGGAAAAAAAAGAAGTTTAAAAAATCGATTGATTTTGATTTTGAAATTAAAATGTTTTTTTCTGTTTTGTTTTTGTTTTTTTTTGTTTTTTTGCTTCAAACTTATCTTACCTTTTCAAGTTCAAGAAGATGGAACCTTAAAACTTGGATTGCTTGTACCATCTATCAAAAATGAATGATTGGAAAAAAATTAGAGAAAGAAAAATTTTGGGTGACAAAAGGTAAAACACATCACTTACCAAACTATCTAGTTCAGGATTCGGTACATAATATGGTTTTTCTTGACGAATCTTTTGAAAAAAAACAAATGAAAATGATGATGAGAAAGATGACAAACTGTAAAGTTTATTAGATAAATAAACATACCTGTTTAGCAAATACAGCAATATCTTCATTAAATGATTCTGATGAACAAACATCACCACCGGTAACACCGGGTTCTCTTGGTGTACAGGTGGCCAATTCACATTTTTCAAATATTAATGCCAATAATGGAAATAATGGATGTCTATTTTTTTTCAATTGAAATTATTGATTTTGTCATTGTCAAATACTAATCAAACAAAAAAAAACATACCCATAAATAGCATCCTTATCTCTTTTATCTGCCATTTGTCCTAACATTGGACCATTATTTGTCATAATACCATGATGATTATTATTATTATTATTATTATGATAAGAATTGTGCATTGATGATGGTATTATTGATGTTGATGATGATGATGGTGGTGGTGGTGGTGGTTGTGGTGTACCATGATTTAAATGTAGTCCATGACCGGAACCAAATCCAGACATTGATGCATATGGATTTTCCATCGATCCATAAAGCCCGTCATCATACTGCAAAATTATATCGATTGTATCGATTATCGATGAAAGGAAAGGATTAGTCAAACGGACACACACNAAAAAAAACATACCCATAAATAGCATCCTTATCTCTTTTATCTGCCATTTGTCCTAACATTGGACCATTATTTGTCATAATACCATGATGATTATTATTATTATTATTATTATTATGATAAGAATTGTGCATTGATGATGGTATTATTGATGTTGATGATGATGATGGTGGTGGTGGTGGTGGTTGTGGTGTACCATGATTTAAATGTAAACCATGACCGGAACCAAATCCAGACATTGATGCATATGGATTTTCCATCGATCCATAAAGCCCGTCATCATACTGCAAAATTATATCGATTGTATCGATTATCGATGAAAGGAAAGGATTAGTCAAACGGACACACACAAAGAAAACTTTGTTGTTCGATGTTGCCTACCTTATGGGCCATCATTGGTAACGATTTTTAAATGTTGAATCAACCGAAAAACGAAACAGACAAACAAACAAAAAACACTGAATTTTATTCAAATTAAATGATGAAGATTGAAAAACACATTCACTTTGGGAGAATTTTCACCCGTTGAAAGAATTGAAACAACAACAAAACACAGCACTTTTTTCTTAAGATTGGAATGAAACACGAAACACACGGACACACAAAAACACTGAATTTGATGAGATCAATTATTTTTCACTACTGGAACATCATGGAAAATGAACACAAACACACACACGAAAAATAACACGTAGAAACACTGAACGGACTGAAAACAATGATTTTTTTTAGGAAAAAATATACTTTTGAAACATTTGATTTTTCACATAAATCGATTAACACTTTACAGAACGTAGTTTTGATGAAAAAACATGAACGATGTTTGTTGATTTACGAAATGTAAAATTCCAACCAAACGTTAATCTTCAATAATCATCAATTTTTTAATACGCAACGTAAATGAAATGAAACTAAATCAATCAAATATCATCATTACATACATACACTTAACTTGTGAATGGTGGTTAGAAGATTAACTAAAAAAAACTACAACGACGATTACGATGATGATGATGGTGGTGGTGGTGGTGGTTGTGGTGTACCATGATTTAAATGTAGTCCATGACCGGAACCAAATCCAGACATTGATGCATATGGATTTTCCATCGATCCATAAAGCCCGTCATCATACTAAAAAATTATATCGATTGTATCGATTATCAATGAAAGGAAAGGATTAGTCAAACGAACATACACAAAGAAAACTTTGTTGTTCAATGTTGCCTACCTTATGGGCCATCATTGGTAACGATTTTTAAATTAACTTTGAATCAAACGAACGAAAAACGAAACAAACGAAACAAACAAACAAACAAAAAACACTGAATTTTATTCAAATTAAGTGATGAAGATTGAAAAACACATTCACTTTGGGAGAATTTTCACCCGAAGAAAGAACAACAAAACACAGCACTTGATTTTTCTTAAGATTGGAAAGAAACACGAAACACACGGACACCCACAGAAATACACTGAATTTGATGAGATCAATAATTTTTTTCACCACTGGAACCTTATGGAAAATGAACACAAACACACACACACGAAAATAACACGTAGAAACACTGAACGGACTGAAAACAATGATTTTTTTTCTTCAAAAAATATACTTTTGAAACATTTTTCACATAAATCGATTAACACTTTACAGAACGTAGTTTTGATGAAACAACAAATATGAACGATGTTTGTTGATTTACGAAATGTAAAAAAATTCCAACGTTAATCTTTAATCATCAATTTTTTCTTTCATTTAATACGCAACGTAAATGAAATGAAACTAAATCAATCAAATATCATCATTACATACATACATACACTTAACTTGTGAATGGTGGTTGGAAGATTAACAAACAAACAAACAAAAAACTACAACGACGATTACGATGATGAAGATCTTGAAAGAAACGCATGCTCAATTTCTATCGAAAAAAGAAAGAAGAAATATATTTTCTGGAATGAAATGAAACAGAACATGAATGATGGCCTGTTTGTCGTCGTCGTCGTCAATGGTGGTTTGCCATATAATAATCATCATCATCCTGATCATCAGCAGCAGTTTAAGATCCGCCTTATTTTCATCGATTGTCCATCCCCTTTTTTTTCTTTCATTTGAATTTGATGATGAATTGAAATGGAATGAGTATCTGTATGATGATTTTGGTAAAACATTGATGATGATGTGTTATGTATGTATGTGAAATGATGATGATGATGATGCTGATTAGGTCACGCCTGATGGGCCGTACATAATTACCAAAAAAACGCCAAAAACTAACAAAACAGACAGACAGGCATCATTATTGTGTGTATCTCATGTGTACTTTGACAATTTTTTTTCTATGTAAATGTTGTTTTTTGTTTTTGGATACGGACAAGGATTCCATGCGTAAAAAAATCAGCCATGTATGTGCTGTATTGATGACGCCAATGAATGGTGTTTATCGTCATCAACATCATCAATATGGAAATCAATAAAAGATTAAAAATCGTTGTTGTTTTGGGATGTTTTGATGGTCAACTTTAGGCCTCTTTTTTGGATCATATTCGACAACAGGTATCATCCATACAACATTTATTCGTTCAACAATCTTGTGATTATGGATTACCTTGAATGGATTTATTTGAAACATTCAGTCATTCATTTCTTGATAAATTTTAAAAGCGCCGGAAAATCTATTTGTTAAAAAAATTTAAAAATTTTTAAAAATAGTAACGCCATCTTTTGATCGCAATAAAAAACAATAGACAAAATTTTTTCAATTTAACATTTCATTTTTTATTTATTCTACAAAAATTATTAACAATTTATCTACGTTGATTGTTCGGTTCGATCAATGGTGTTTAGTTGTTGTTGTTGTTGTAACTGTTCATCATTACCACCACTTTGCATAAAATCAGCTGGCTCTGCATTCATAGCAGCATTTTCATTTGCATAAAGATTCGGATATCTAGTCATACAATTATTCATTTCGATAAATTTATCCACACATTCAGAACCTTTTACTTCATTGGTAGAATAATGAAAACAACTAAATGCTTCACGAAATTCAAAACCACAAGGTCCAGAAGCCATTCCACCTAAACAAGGACAATTAAAATTCAATTCACCATTTGGCATAATCAGACCACGACTTTGTTCACTTTCAGGTAATTCAGGTAATTTCATTCTATCCAATGATGAACGATTATGATCATAATCTTGTTTGGTAATGAAAACGATTCGATCTTTCGGTGATGCTTGTTCACAGGATGACATTTTTCTTCGTTTGTTTAGCAAATTAGAATGAGATAATCATGATAAACAAATCAATGAAGAAAGCAAACATGTGTGTATCATCAACTATTAGATCTACATGCACCCAATTCAAGCCAATAAATGTCAAAATAGAAATTAAAATATATTTTTGAAAAAAAACTGCATTTTTAAAATGATTTCTATGAAATTTTATTAACGTTTTTTTTTTGTTTTGTTTTCTCGTGAAACTCGTCATCATGAACAATAAAATGATATAAGATATGAGAAAAAAAGCGAGAAAGAAAGATTTGAAATCACATTAATTTCAATGGAAAAATGTGTATGAATAAATGATGAAAAAAAAGGAATTGTTAAATTGTGGACTAGGTTTTTTTTCTCATGTTTAAATCAATAATAATAATGGATAAAAAGATTTGAAACAGGAAAAAAAATGTAAATATTAAATCAGATAAGAGAGAGAAAGAGAGGTAAACAAACACACACACATAAAGGATAAAGAAAATAGGATATAGAAATATTTGAATGTAACAAATGTAAATTTAAAAAAAAAATGAAATTGATAATTTTTAAAAAACAAACAAACAAAAAAGTTTTGCCCGAAATTGATTGTGATATAAAAACAAATACAGTATATAGTGGAGAGATGGAAAAAAAGAATCAATATTTTTTTTTTGGCTCAAAAAAAATTCTTCAATGATGATCGAATCGTGGAATACGATGATAATTATCATTTTGGCTGCTGTTGATATTACTATTGTGCTGTTGTTGTTGTTGTTGTTGTTGGTGATGCATAATCACATGATTCACTGCTGATGATGATGATGATGGTAATGTTGATGATACTGTTATAACATCTTTATCAATCATCATTGATGATGATGATGATGATGTAGTTGCTGCTGCTGTTGTTGTTGTTGATAATGATGATAAAATTGGTAATTGTACTGGCATTGTTACATTGGTTAGTAAAGATGATGGTGGATTGTTTGAATAAATAACTACGGGAAAAAATTTCACCTGTGTTTGCCATTGTGGTGTTAATTGAAAAAATTTTACACCCGAATATTCAACACCATCGATTATGACTAATTGATAAATTGAAAATTTAATGAAAAACATTTGAAACAATCGAAGAAAAAAAATACATACGTTTGATTGGTGATTGTGAAGTTTTATATGAACAAACCAGGCGACAAATTCCATCGATTGTCTGTCGTGGACATTTATTATCCATATCTTTTTCTTTTTTCTTGCCCAATCTCATTACTGTAATTTGAAATTGAAAAAAAATTATTTCAATAATCAATCAATATATCAAAAATACAAACTTTTCTGTTTCTTTTCTTTAGTTATATAGGAAAATGTTAATGATGAACAATTAGTTTCACCAAAATTTGGCAAACGAGTTATTTGTACATGACGGAATGAATTTTTCAATGTAAATTTACAATTATCGCCTTTTTTATTCGATGATGATGATGATGAAGATGATGGGACTGTTGTTGTGGATGAAGATGAAGAAAAATCAAGAATTTTTGGATGCTGCTGTGATGATGATGATGATGTCCAATAATCAACTTGTAAATCCATTACTTCATTCATCATCATAACATTCATCGATGATTCTTTATTTGATTGATGACTATGACTACTGTACATATGATGTTGATTAGCTGTTGTTGTAACAGTAATGCTTGGAGAATTTGGTGGTGTTGATGAATGTTGTTGTTGTTGTTGATCTTTCGAATTAAAAGTTGGTGATGTAATACATTTATCATTCATTCCTGATGTTGATGATTGCTGTTGTTGTACAATAGAGCTCGATGATGGATTGATGGCGGAAATCGTAGAGAAATTGAATGATTCTTCTTCCATTGAATGATTACCATGATCGGCTAAACCTATTTAAAAAAAAAATTATCATTATTAACACTTCAAACAAAAACAAAAAGCAAACAAAAAAAAACATTACCAATTTTAACATCACAAATAAATGGTATAAAAACCTGATTAGATGATTCATCATCAATGTTTTTATCTTTATATGTAACCATTGCTTCAGCAATTGGTATCTGTATTAATGTTTGAGCATTATTTATAAAGTTAATAATTTTTTGATAAAATTCATGTATAACATGTAGATTATTATTATTATTATTATTATCGATTGATGATGATGATTGTAATGGATTGTTAATATTTTCGGTGGTGGTTGTTGTTGTTGCAACAAAACGACTAGAATCCAAATCTTTAATCATTTGTTTTGGGAAAAAACATTGTGAATAAGTATGATCTATACTAGCAAGATATTTATGTAACATATTTGATCCATAATAACTTAATGAATGATTATTATGTTGATAATAGTGTGAATGATAATTTAGATTCAGATAGTTCATTGGAATGATATAGAAACGAAAAAAATTTTGCCATTCAGTGGATTTATTTGCCAATGATTCAACATAAAATCTTAAAAATGAATTTACATATGAATCCGAACCGATCAATATTAATTTGATTGGTGTTGATATTTTTTGATTATTATTGCAAAATTTTTGCATACGATTACATAGAAAATTGAATGAAACTTTTACATCATTCAATGTATTTGTTCCTATTATTCGATTTGTTCGTTCAAACATTTGTATTAATGATTGTTGTTGTGGTTGTTGCATACAATGTATACATTCGGATAAATTTATGAAAATTATTTCTTCAGGTATTGTCTGTTCTTCGGATTGTGGAAAAACTTTGTTCAGTTGATCGAGAACAAATTCTTTCGACTAGAGAAAAAAATTGATCAGTCAGTCATTTGCATCAAATTCATTTATCAATAAAATACATACGGTATTTGTGTTGACATCATCTTTATGATAAGTTGTTGATAACAAAGACATTGTTGCGTGTAAAGATTTCTTTTCTTTTTCTCTTGAATTATTTAAATGATGATTATGATGATGTTTATTGCTGTCTTTATTATTATCTTTGAGAAAAAGACGTGCACGTTTTTGTTCTTTATCAAAATTTAATTTTTTCTTATTATGACTTTGTGTGATTGTTGTCGGTATAATCAACGTGGTTTCTAATGGTTCAAAATTTGTCTGTTTCTGGCTATTATCCGAAGTATCAGGTGTTCCATCAGTTCCTGATGTTTCTTGACTTTCTTGATCTCGTCTTGTATTAGTAGTGGTAGACTCAGCGACAGGAAACTTTCGAAACAAAAAAAAAACAAATGAATGAAAAATCAATGAAAAAAAAGAACACTCTGTTGACTAGACTTACCACATAGGATTTATCTTGACCAACCAGTGTACAGGATGAAAAGAATGGCCTTAAACTTGGTTTTGGTGTTGAAGAAATACTAACATCATCAAATTCTTGTCCACTATCAGTCATATAATCAAGATCATCAATTTCTTCATCATCAAAAAATTCATCAATATCCGGTGGTTCTTGTGCCGATGACATTAATTCTTTTTCCAATGCTTCTTGAAATTTTTCCTCCGAATCATATGCCTCGGAATCGGGTAGACGAAATTTTTTCAACAATGAAATGAATTTTTGTTTTAAATTTCTTTGCTGTACATTTGTCGGTACAACTGAACGATTAAATTTTTCATTATTAGTAAATAATTTTCGTGATTTACGATCATTCAGTTTACGACGAAAAAGAACATTATTTCCTTCTTCAATTGTTTCACTATCACTACCATCTTCAGCCGAAGTAAAATCATCATCATCACTATAAACATCCGGACGATCAATAGAAACTTTTCCTCTTCGTACATTACTATTATTATCCTGATCGATTGGTTGACTTTTTAATGATGATATTGTTATTCGTGCAACAATATCATTTTTACCAATATCTTTAACATGTCCAATTAGATCTAAATTTTTTTCACTAATTGTTGAACGTTGTAATACTTCAACCATATCAATTAGGCCACAAGCTAATGTTTTATAGCCTATATAATATATAATGCAAATCAATATACAACAAAAAAAAGAGATTAGTATTTCAGGTTATTTTATCTATTTTTACAAAACAAAAAACTAACCAAGTATAGCTTTATTTTTATATTTTTTTCTTCGTTGTAATATGATCTGAAGATAATTACGATTACGTTTAATAAAATGTGGATATTGTAATGTAAATGAAAGATCTAATTCAATATCGAATGGTTCATTATTATTGTTCGATTGATTATTTGATGATGATGAAGATGATGATGATGGTATGGTTATTTCATTTGAACGTAGAATACGTTTTGAATGTTGCATTTTTACTGCAACCATTATCGATGTAACATCATTACCAAATGATTTATTACAAGTTAAACGATTTATATTCAATGAACATAATCTTGGTATACAATCGGATGGTGTTTTATCGATTTCCCATGCACCAAATAATTTCATTTTTACCGGTTTATTCGACCACATTGCCGTTGATGATGATATTTTTGTATTCATTTTATCAGTCATTTTTTGTTGATTGAAAAAAAGAATGGACCACAAAAAAAATTGTTTTGTTCGATTGGGCTTTGGTATCGAAAGAAGACAAACAAACAAACATTGTTGAGCAATAAATCAATCGAATAAAAAATCAATGGAAAACAAAACTCACCGGAAAAAAACGTTAATTTTAAAACGACAAATTGATTGATAATTTGATTAAAAACATTTGTTGATGATGATGATCGAAAAAATTAACAATGACAGCTGATTAATTTTGTTTCAAATCATTTGTAAAATATTTTTTTTTTTTTTTGATGAAATAATAAAAACAAATAAATAAACCATCAAAATGAACAATTGTGAAATTGTGCGTCTTTGAATTGTTGTTGTTTTCCCCATGTGTGTGATGATGGGTGTTTATATTGTTGAAATAATGCCAATAAAATTATCATCAACAAGATTTCATAGTTGAAAAATATGAAATGATAATCATCATAATTGGATTGAATTTAATTGAAAAAAATACATATTTTTCTCCATCATCATCATCATAATGTGAAAATGTTGAAAACTTGAACATAAAATTACATTGTCACATTACTCTCTTTCTTTCTCCAGAGTTTGCATTGTGTTTTTTTTCGGGCATAAAAATACCGAAAATTCTTTTTTTCATTCAATAAAGTCATGTAACATATGACAGCAAAGTAAAACACACCGAAATAGAAATTCCAATTTGTCAGAACAAAACTAAAAAACTAAAATATGAAAATTCCAGCCATTCATCCATCGATGATGATGTTGTTGATGAAAATGAGGATGATTGGACGCAATGATTTTTTTCTTCTTCGTTTTTCTCGTTTATTAAATTTAGTCAGGATTTTTGTAAACTAAAAAAGTAAAAAATGATTTACCGCTACGACAAGACAAAACAAACAAACAAACAAAACAAAACAGGCACGATATCAGGAAAATATATCCAGTAGCGCAGTATTTTATTGCATTTAAAATATATAATCAACAACCAAAACAACCAAAAATAAAATGTTTTGCCTCGCCCCGAACTTACAAATATAAAAAAAAACAAACGAAAGGAAAATATAGATAAAATACTGAGTTGAGTGCAAAGTTGTCTTTTTGGTTATTTGGTTGTATATATGCGTCACACATACAATATATCCCAAATTATCAGCAGCAGCAGCAGAAGCAGCTGTATCGCTGAGATGAATCCTCTTATTATTTTTTTTGATGATTGGCTGCTGGTGCCATCTTGGTTTATCATTATGAAATTTTTTTTTTTCAAATAAATTTTATTTCCGATTCAAATTTAAAATAATCATCCATATCATCATGTGTGTATAATATCAAATATAATATAATAATAGTGAATGACATTTTGTAATAATGACAATGTTTATGATGATGATGATAATGATAATGATGATGATGATGATAATTAATGGCAATAACAAAACAATCATCCGAATGAATGACTCATTCAATTCATTAAAAAACCGTAGTTGATGCAGGTATCAATTATTATCATTCGAATGATTCGACGAATTTCCATTGGTTTTTTCATCACCATTTATGATGATTTTATCATCATTAGGAGATGATTCATGATTAGTTGTTGTTGATGATGATGATAAATTTTGTTGTTGAGTTTCGTTCGGTTTGATGACATTTGTATTATTATCTTGTTGTTGTTGTTCGCCTTTCATCATTTCCATTGTTTTGATTAATGTACGACGATAATGATCTTTTAATGTGGTATCCAAATCATTCTGTGCAAAACGTTTGTTCATTTCATTTTGAAATCTTTCACTTGATTCTAGTAATGAATGTTTTTTTTGTTGAAATCTTTCTTCAATTTGTTGCAATTCATCTACCATTTTTTTCTGATAAACAGTTAAAGAATCCACTTGACGCCGTAATACCTGTACTTTAACATCGAATGCATGACGACTTTCCGGAACGACTGTTTCGGTGAATATATCATTGACGAGTTTATTATTACGATAATAACGTGCAGCTGCCAGATGTTTAGCGGAAAAATATTCATCATTCTCATCACTACTTTCTAGCGGTTGCAAACTAAAACGTCCATCCGATCGTTGCGGTGAATTGTGCATCTGATTATGTGATCGTTTATCTCGTTTCTTATTCATCATGACACCTTCACGTTCTTCGTTTTCTATGTTTGATTGCAAAATAAATTAAAAAATAACAATATTAAACATTCAAATTACAAACCTTTGGTTTTTAGCGATGCAATCCATGATTGATAGGCAGGAGATGAATGATATTGTTTTAATAATTCATTATATTCGAGTTTTTCCACTTCAAATTCCTCAATATACTTTTGTTTTTCATTTTCGTCAAGATCACGCCACATTTGTCCAACAATTTTACTAATTTCCCATACTTTCAGATCTGAATATTGGGCTTTAACATCATCCCATACTTTTTTACTATAACGCATATAAGGTATCAATGGTTTATCTGGTGGTTTTGGTTGTTTCGTTGCTCGTGGCATTTCCTATTCGAATATCAGTTAATTAGCTTATTTCATGTTAATCAAAATGTTAGAATATTAGAACTTACAATTGAATAATTTTTTGTTGAAACACTTTTGGATGGATTAAAATTTGGATGGCCATGTGTAGAAGGCATAAATGGATTTACACTCATTATAGTCAGATGAGTGTTAATGATGACAATCACGTATTGAGAAAGATAATCAACAAAACAATTTATTTAACCTGAGAATGATGATGATAAACATAAATGACAACAATATATCGAAGTTTTTTTGGGAAAAAAAATAATCAAAGTCCTTTGAATAACCGAATATTGAAAATGTTGTTACATGCGGGCATGAATCAAACACTCATTTTATTGTTGTTCCATTCATTCATTCAATCATCATATGAATCTAAATACAGTCAATTTACCTTTTCAACTAGGTGATTATATCCAATATTCATCCGATCTAAAATGCAACGAAAATATCCTGTAAACATGAATGAGCACCCTCATCACAGATGATGATTGAATAACAAACGTTCAAAATGGGGGAGGAGTTAAATCGAAAGAGGATGATGAAGAACCCGATTTATACATTGAAGGTATTTCAAACAAAAACAAAAAACAAAAATATTTTGATGCCCGCCAAAAAATAAGAAGAAAAAATTGAAAAATTCGCTACACTTTGAAGTTTTTTTTTCTATGGTGATTCGTTAATAATGATAATAAAATCCATATAATGAATGCAAATTCATATAAGAAATCAAATCAAAAAAAGAAAAATGGGAAGGAAATGAAATGAAATGAAGAAGAAGAATAGAAAACGTGTATATGGCCAAACCAAGGACATATTATTATCGTCTTTGTTCAAAATTTTCAATTAGTAATTACATTATGTTGATGTTGATGATGATAATGATGATCACATTTGTTCATATGGTCAAGTATTTTTTTATCACGATCTGATTGTGGTGATTTACAACAACAACAACAACAACAATAATAATAATAATGATAATGATTCTGCTGTTTCGTGGATGGTGTATCAATTGAATCGATAATGGTTCGGTTATTTGCAATGTGCAGATGATATTTTATTATTCATCAGTCAGTCAGTAATGATAATAACGAAAAGGGGGATGTAACCATCATTTTAATTGTTCGATTTTTCATTCGAATCATTCTGATGATGATGCGTTTTGTCATCAGATATATAAATTATCGTTTCATTGATAATTCATTCATTTTTTTGGTTTGTGTTCAACTTCTTGGATCGATCGATTGATTGATTTGATTGAAAAAAAAAGACAAAAATGCTGAAATTGACTTTAATATTTTTGATTGGAATTGCATACGCTGCTCAAACACGAATAAAAATTGGCTCAAAATCATGGGGCTATCAAATTGATTTAAATCATGGTCAACAAATTCGTAATGAATTTAGTAATGAAGATGGTATTACAACCGGTTATTATCTGTTTCGAAATAATGATAATCAAACAAAAAAGGTATTTGTTTTGTTTCGCTTTTCTTGATGTGCGTGAACTAACTTTTTTTCATAGCTACAATATACCATCGATCCAAATCGTCTTCAACCGGACGTTGAATTTGATGTCATCAATGTTGTCGACGAAAATGAATACGATAATAGATCCGAATGTTTACGACCAAATTCCAATGTAAGCAAATATTGGTTTTCCATATCAAACATAATATGATCGTTTTTTTTTCAATAAGTTAACATTCGATTCAATCGATAGTAATGAAGATTTTAAAGGACATGTTACACTTAAAGTCGGTAATTCAACATATAGTATAAATTTTGCTACAGGTGATAAAAGTAATTCTCGTGAAGAAATCCTAACACCAACTGGTCTTCTATATGGCCGCTATAATTTTATGCCAAAAAATAGCCCAAATAAAATAGTGGTATGATTGATTTTTTATTTGTTAATATTTTGTAATCTTTTATTGGTAATATTATTATTATAAAAATAGATAAACTATAAATTCAATTCAACATCAGTGGATCCAACATTCGAAGTATCATTATTTAAATCATCATCCGAAACATTGGAAACTCTTGGCCGTCATATTGATCATTATCGTGAACGAGATTATTTGAATAATATTAATTATAATCCAAATATTAATTATCGGGTAATGTAAATTAATGATTGATAATTTTCATTTTCATTTTTTATTTTCAAATTACAAGGCACCATATCAAAGAGGATACGTTCCAGCAACATCATCAGGGACATCATCATCATCAGCAGCAGGTGTTTCATCATCATCAGCATTAGCATCACATCGTGCTGCTGCTATAGCCCGTGCTCAAGAACAAGCACGACAAGCAGCTTTAGCTGAAAAATATCGTAAAAATAATAATAATAATAATAATCATGCACACTACCACCACCATGATTATTTATCATCGACCACAACAATTCCAAGCTGGTATTCAAATCGAAGTAAATCTATTGAACCATAAATGAATGAATATTACCAATTTAACAAAACGACAATTTCGAACACATTTGACGATAAGTTTCAGCCAATAAATCAATATGAAAACAACATTTTCTAATATAATCATAACGGCTATTTGAATTCCAATCATTACGTAACCATTCTAATTTTTCATTATTTGTTACAAATATTATTTCATTTACATCTTTATCCAATTTACAACGAAAACGATATTGAAATAAATTCTTTAAACGTTCATAAATAATTTGTTTTAAATCTTCATTTCGTGCAACTAAATTTAGAATGAAAAAACCATCATCATTAAGTAATGTTTGTACTTGATTCAAACATTCATTTTCGACAAATTCTGGTGGTGGACAACTAACACCAAGCTCGATATTTTTACTATCCACATCGAATATAATGAAATCAAATTTTTCCATATTCTGTGAATCTTGTGATTTTGATCGTAAATAATGTAAACCATCATCGATTATAATATTAATCTGTATATTTTGTTTAGTTTTTTGTTGAAAATCAAAATATTTTTTAGCAACTTCTTCCAATAATGGATCAATTTCAATCACTGTTATACGTAGAACAATATCATCGGATGGACGTAGATTATTTGCAAGAAAAGCTATGAAACAACCACCACCTAAACCAATCATCAAAAGATTATAAACATTTTTGAATGGTCTGTTGATAATGGCCAATCCGGCAGCAATATATTGATGATGATCACATGAAAGAAAATTTCGATCACAACGAAATGTTCCTTGTTTACATTTTTTTAATCGTGCTTCCGATTGAATAATATTATGATTATTAGCAAATACTAAACGTCTATACATTATACCATCGATACAAACATCTTCGACAAACATTTGACCATTAAATTCACTATAACCATTCCATATGACATTACGTTCACCAATATCACCATCACCAATACTAAGAAATAGAATTTTTTCGGATGTTGGTGGGAAAAACCCTTGCAATTGATTGCCTAATTCATTTTGAATTTTTTCCATATTTTCATAACGATGTTTACGACTTAAAAATACAACAGCTAAACGATCACAACGGCATTGTTTCAGTAATTCTAATCGACCTTTACCAGTAGAAAACATCCATTCATGTTCACGACCTTGTGGAACAATGAATATCGAACACCTGATCATATTATTCGATTTAACAATGTTCGATCGTTGTACAAAATAAAACTTGTAACGACAATCATCATTGTTGTTGGAATCATCAAATAATTCAATATTAAAATTTTCATCATCCATTTTACTATTTCGAACCATATATTTAAGAAATTCCATTCGTTGATATGATTTTATGATGGAGGCTACTTCAGAAATGTTATGAATTTTTTTAAATTTTCTATCACCATTCAAATCCATTTCTACATATGTTTCGGATAGTTTTGCTTTCATTTTCAAACAGGTTATGATAAAAACTGGAAAATTTACAGTATCAACAACATTTGTTTCATTTGATTTTGATTGTATCATTTCAATACGACATATCCAATTCTGATTGACAGTAAACCATGATAGTAATTTATCCAATACATGTTCCTGCAGTAACGATACACAAATATAGCGGCCAAAATATTTCAATACACGTGAAATTTCCGTAAAACATTTGTCAATATCAATATTACTGTCCGAACAAATAGCATCCAAAGTACCTTTATCAAGAACAATATTGAATGATTCATTTGCGAATCGCATCTGCATCATATCCATACATTCGAATTGTAATTTCGAACGGATTCCATTCGATTTGTATTTTGAAATCATTTTATCGATAACAACTTGACTGATATCAATGCTAGTATTGTTTTCGTAGCCATCATCAAAAAGATCGACACTTAATGTTGAATTGCCACAACCGATCACAAGAAAATTATCATTTGGCTTCAAATATTGCAACAATATGGTCTTGATTTCCTCATAACTACCATACCATTCGAATGAATCTTTTCGTTTTTGAAAAAATTTATCCCAATATTCTTTTGAAGCAAATTCTTTGGTTGCTTTTGGTAAAAGATTCATTGTTTTATCGTTGTTTTTGATAGAATTCGTGGTTAACAAAACCACGTGAGGAATTGTTTTTAAATATAGTATCGATTATACAATCGATATAATCGATAATTAAAATTTTTTTAAAAATTCATTTTTTTATTATAAAAAATTAAATTAGTCATCAACCTAACCTCACTCAACCATGAGTTACAGTCATAGTCATCAACCTAACCTCACTGAGCTATGAGAAAAGTCATAGTCATAGTCACCAACCTAACCTCACTAGACTATGAATCACAGTCATCAACCTAACCTCACTGAACTACAAATATTGATAATTAGAGTTTTGAAGTGTCAAGTTTATTTTATTAAACCATTAACAAATAATAAGTGAAATTTTAACTATTTTTAAATGATTAAATTTTGTTTTAACCAATGTGTATAATTGCGTTGGATTTTTTTGATTAATCAAAAATAATTTTTCTAAACTTTGTAAAGAAATGATGCCAATTGCACGTGAATGAGCCATTCTCATTGAAAAACATCCAAATTCAATAAGACCAATAGGTTCATGATCATCATCATTGTTGACATCAATATTGGTTAGATTTTCCGATTTCAAATGACCATCCACCATCAATTTTGATAAATAATCCGATGATTTAGGAACTAAAATTATATCATCAGTTTTCGGAGTGCCTTTAAGATAATCAACCATCACTTGAATAAGACAATTTTCTGGATCAATAATTTTGTTGGTAATTTTATCAAATGAATGATTTGTATTCAAACTGGTTAGAATATCATGATTACGAATAATATATTTGTTTTCAAAATCAAATATATTTGATTTTTCTTGACGATTAACCATACAATCTTTATAACCAATTTTTGGATACAATAACGTTTCGGTATCGATTGTCATCACTTCTAAATCACGTAATCCACCAACTAAATGTGACATATTAGCATTGATTTTATTCCAAATTTTTTTCAAAAATTGATTTGGAATTAAAATTTCAATTGTTTCGATTTGATGATGGCCAAAATGATACTGTCGAATGGCAATGATTTCTTTTTCTAAATTATTAAAAAATATTGAAAAATCTGATGATTGATTTATTGATTGATCCCAACATTGCCATTGATTTTGTTCAAATGTTGTTGGTAATTTTTTTCCAAGTTTTTTGCTAAGACGCTCGGATGAATGTGAACCATGAAGACGAATACAAGAACAATCTTTTTGTTCAAATGATAATGAAATATTTCGTTCAAGAAATTGTTTGATTATTGAATCGAAAACAAGTAGATGACCAGTGAATGCTAAATAAAGTTTATCATTTTGTTTGATTTTAACTACATCACAAGGACCTATTAAATTATATGGATATTTTTGATATTCGTAAAGATTTATATTCATAGAATGATGATTCGAAATTGTTTTAAGACGTTCTAGTCCTTCGGGTGAAATAAAATCTGAAAGTTTTCGATAAATATTATCATTGTTGTTGTCGGATGAATGTAAAAGGAAAGTTTTCAAAAATGCCATATAATAACAAACGGAACCTTTTTTCGAACCACGATATAATATTCTTTGATTTTTCATATTATTTTTCCATGGAATAAAAATATTCCACAAAAATTCCATTTTAAAACGTTTAGTAAACCACATATGCAGAATAGTACGACGAGAATCTTTATTACGTTTACGAATTTTACGTTTACGTATTCGTCGAATTTTTGATGATGATTTTTTAATCTGTAAAGTTTTATTCGAAGATTTACTCGGTTGTTGAAGGAATTTTTGTAATTTTTTTGGTAAACGTTTTGGATTATTACTTGCAGCTCGTCTACGTATATGTCGAGGTACTCGTTGCAAAACATTTTTACATTGTTTAGTTCGACATTGTTTTTTCAATGAATTTATTTCGACAATATGTGATTGAATAAAATTATAGATTGATATTTCTACAATGAGAAGGACAAAAACAAAATTGAATAATTTTTTTTCAAAAGAATCTTATTTACCTTCAGGAATATCCATGGTTTGAAAGTTTTTATTTTTCAAAAAAAAAATTCGATAAAAATTACGAAACAAACCACGTGACCAGCATATGAACCTATTTCAATCCAATGAGTCCGATCCAATCGAGACCTTGAACGATGACCATATTTTTTTGCGAATTTTATTCAAATTAAAAATTTTTTTAAAAATAATTTTAAAACAAAACATGTGTTCTAAAATACGAGTCATCGATTTAAATCGTCTTTCATATAATACAGCTTTGTATATACAACAAAAATTATTTACCAAAGTTCAACAAGAATCATCTTCGTCGACGACAACAAATTCCGTACCAAATTATTTACTATTAGTTGAACATGAACCAGTATATACTATTGGTATTCGTAGTAAACAATATTTGGATGAAAAATTTCAAGAAAAACTACAAAATTTAGGAGCAGATTTTTCGATAACAAATCGTGGTGGATTAATAACATTTCATGGTCATGGACAATTGGTTGCATATCCGATTGTAAATTTAAAAAATTTTCCCATCATTCAAAATAGTATCAAAAAATTTGTTTGCCAGCTTGAATCAACTATTATTGATGTTTGTGAAGAATTTGGTATCAAATCTGCTAGAATGAATGGTTATCCTGGTGTTTGGGTTGATTCGGATAGAAAAATTGCTGCACTTGGTATTCATTGTAGTCGTTATGTAACAATGCATGGTATAGCTATTAATTGTAATGTTAATCTTGGTTGGTTTGATCATATTATACCATGTGGTATTGAAAATAAATCCATTACATCCATATCGAATGAATTGAATAAAAATATTTCCATTGAACAAGTAAAACCATTATTATTAAAACATTTTTGTGAGAAATTAGAATGTAAAATTGAAAAACATTAATTAATTAATTAAAATTATGATTTAATAGAAATTCTTTCAATTTTTTAGTACAAAGAAAACGATGTGATATTGTATTTTTTAATGAATAATCCATTTCACCATATGTTTGTTGATAACCATTTGGTTGAAAACAAGGATCCCAACCAAAATCTAAACGACCTCTTCGTTGTACAATTTTACCATCAACCATACCGTTAAAAATATGAACAGGACTATCAATGGTTTCCATAAAAGCCATCATACAAATAGCTGTAGCTGTTTTATCATCCCAATCTTTTATCAATCTAGGCAATCCTTCACTGCCTATTGCATCCATAAACCATTTTATATATGGACCGGGTAATCCATTTAAGGCTTTAATACTGAAAAAAACAAACAATTTTTTTTATGATGAATCACAAACAAAAAACAAACAAATTTTTCACATTACTTAAGTGAAGTATCTTCAACCAATACTGGTCCATTTACAATACGTATAGCACTTTTACATTTTTCCCGGACAATAAATTCTAAATCACCTTGATATTCGGGTAGATCAATTTTACGATGAACAATCTATTTTTGCCACCGAAAAAAAATTATTTAAATAAGATTCATCGAAAAGAACAAATCAATTAATTAATTACATTAAATTTTTGTGATTGATCACCAATTATATTTAAAATTTCTTTTAATTTATGTTGATTTCCGGTTATAAATGTTATTGTTTTCATTTTTTAAAAAATAAAATTATTTTTTTTACAAATTTCTAAAAAAAGAGATTCGCGAATGAATACAGCTGATTCGAATCGAACATGTTTGTCTGTCTGTCTGTCTGTCCGTTCATATTCGAATCATTTAATTCGAATCTTTTTTCGTTTTTTTTGCTTAAATTCTGTCATCTGAAACTAATGAAATTCCAAGGAAATTCCAAGGATTCTATCTTTTTTTAAAAAATTTAAATTATTCCACCATCATCATTATAAAGCCAAGAATCAATTTCATTCGACCGAATCTCCAACCGACCAACATCCGATGATGATGACTGAATTGATTTCTGAAAGAAATCAGCAAGAGAAGAAGACAACATTCAACCAAATCCAATCCAAACATATATGGTATTTTATGATTTTTTTTCCTCTATGTATATTCATTGTTTGTTTCATTTTGGGACAATTTAGTGATCATCATCACCATCATCAATGAATGAATAAAACAAATCGGAGGATTGTCATGATCATCATCATCATCATTGTCCATAAATGGAAGAAAATTTTTTTTTCTTTGCCATTCCATCAAACCAATCGAACCAAACAAGCAGAAAAAAATTAACAAGTTTTTTTTTGTCTGAAACGATTGTACGAAATTGTTCAAACAAACAAAATAGAGAGAAAGAAAAAAATATGAATGAAATGAATATAGCCTCGAATTTTTCAAATTTCATTCATATAAAATAATGATGGCTAAAAAAAGAGAAATTATACTTTTTCGAAAGAACAAGAGAAGATAATTTGATGTTATTTTGAACAATAAGTCAACAATCAAGAAAATGAATGAACCAAATGGATGCGCTGCTTTTTTTCCTTTTACAAACATCAATCGATCGATCCACAAAAACAAAATACAAGCATCATCACAACACTTGTTTTGAAGCAACAAGTTTTTTTAGGCAAGCATCTATGCCACTATATATTCTATACACTCATTCGCCAAACCAAAAAACTTTAACCATATGTTTTGTATATATGCCACAAAAACAACAACAATAACAACAACGTTGATATCAGAACACAGAACCGCCGCCGCCATACACATAAAATTGCCAATTTGTTGTCGTTGCCGACGACTACGACTACGACTACGATAAAGAAACTCACCTGTCGTTTTTCACGATAAAATAATACGGCTACCTGTTGATATATTCTGATTTTTTTTATACATTTAATTCATTCCTCATCCCTCATCATTATCATCCATCGATATTCATCAAATGAATTTTTTTATATTAATATTTCCGATTTTATTCATCCATTCATTTTATCCATTCATTCATTTGCCAAATTCATTCATTCGTTTTTATTCTGTCATCTGAATTAGACATTGAAAAAACAAACAAGCAATTTTTTTTACTGACTGCAAATAAACTTTGTTGTTATTGTCAACATCGATCGATCGATTGTTTATTGATTGAAAATTTTCATTTCAAAAAATCTGTTTGGTGTTTTGTTTTGAAGAATCCACCAGCGGCACATCGAATTCAATTTTTCTACAATTTCCAGCAACTTGTTTCTTTGGTTCTTCATTCACTAACAACAACAGATTCTTGTCAACAGAATTTTTCGTCAATCAATTGTGGCAGCTATAATTTGCAACAAAAATCAGTCAAAAAATCAAAAGTCAATCATCATCATCATTATCTACTTATACTAATTTTATTACCTTATTTATAACCTGGAAATTAAGTGAAAATTTTCTTTTAAAAATCTTACAAAAAACCACAACATACACCTCATCACTCACTCACTCACATACAAAACAAAACATCGACGGTAATAATAACCATCATAGTAATCATCACTAACCAAGCAATTTTTTACTAATCAAAAAATCATCATCAAATGAATTGTTGAATTACATCAGTGAAAATCCAAGAAAATCCGTAACCAAAAATGTATAAATTTGACAAAGGTAATCATCGATTATTTGTAAAAGGATCACGTGAAGATGATGATCCAGATAATATTGCCGATTCAAATAATGATAATCATTTAATTAATGATCATACTATTGATCGACAACATTATGATTTTGATTCAAAAAATCATATGGCTTCAGCATCACAAGAAACACGAGAATTATTTCGTACAAGTAATAATCGTGCTGGTCTTAAAACGGTACAAACAAAACGTGTGGCTAAAAAAATTACCACTGTTAATCGTGGTGAACAAAGAAAATTGGTAAGTTTCAGAAAAATTTTTCCTCTTTTGTTTTAATCAATCCATTTGAGCCGTTTCAAACAAAAAAAACGAAATTAGCGAAAAATAACAATTTTTCTCAATTTCCGTTTGGGCACCCACCCGAAAATTGGAATCTTTAAAGAATTCCAGATAGTGTAGGTTGTTGATGAAGGTTTTTTTCTTCTTCTTAAGTTTTTTACGATTGCAACTCTTTTTCCAAAAAAAAATTCCTTCGTTCATTCAAATCGACCAAATCAATATGCACTATTGGTTTGATTGCTTTTTATGGACATTTTTTCGTTTCGCTTTTGCTTATTTTATCACAAAAGCAAACGAAACGAAAAATTGTGGCAAGGTGAGACTTTTTTTCTTCTTCTTATTACTTTCTTCATCATCATTTTTGACAAATGATGGTTATATGTGGCTCGATGTTTGTCCAAAACAATCGCCCACATTCATTGCGTAGGTTTTACTGAATGACTTTGGAATTATCTATCTTTTTTTTCTGTAATATAATAATATTGTCACTATGTTTTGAAATTTCGACCTCCATTATTATCGTTATTGTTGTTGTTGTTGGGGATTCATTTTAGGAATGTTGTTCACACACACACACACACACATAGATGGAAAAAATAAAGTTTTTTTTTCGTTCGATGTAACAATAACCTTGTAGCTGAATTAGTTGGTTTTCGCAAATTTTTTTTTTTTTTTTTGTTGAATATCATCCTTTTTTTCTGAAGATTTTCTTTTCTTTTGTTTTTGTTTTTGGCTCAATGGATCGATTTAATGATAATGACAATGATAGAATCTTTTGGTTAAAATTTTACATTTACTTTTTCCCCTTCTCCCCTTTTCGATTAGCCAACAATTTCTATGATTGAAGGAAATAAATTGAAAGAAAAATTAATGAAATGGGCACAAAAATCAACACGTGGTTATCCAGGTGTAAATGTTTGTGATTTTACTAATAGCTGGCGTGATGGCCTTGCATTCAATGCCATTATACATCGTAATAGGTAAGGAAGGGGTTGTTTTTGTTAATATTCCGGATAATCAAGTGTTAATCAATTGATTTCGAATTTTTTTTGTTGTTGAAAAATTAACAGACCTGATTTACTTGATTATCTAAAATGTCGTGAACGATCAAATCGAGATAATCTACAAACTGCATTTGATGTTTTATCAAAAAATTTCGGTATAAATTGTTCACTTACACCGGATGAAATTGTTAGTGCCGAACCGAATGAAGATGAAATGTTAAAATATTTGGAAGAAATTTATAATCTTTTTCCTAATCCACCGGATCATAATCCACTTTATGATGCAGAGAAAATTCGTCGTATCGATGAATATAAAGATCTGGCAAGTCGTTTATTAGTATGGTTACGTGAAAATATTCCAAAATTAAATGATAGAAATTTCCCTAATCAATTAAGAGAAATGATTCATTTAAAACGTGAAAATGATCAATTTAAATTGGAACAAATACCACCAAAATTACATGATAAACAAAAATTAGCTAGTACATATGAAGATGTTTTGAATATGGCACGTTCATTACCCGGTCGTCATGTTCGTATTGAAGATGAATATGATATAAGTAATATTGAAAGATTATGGAAAAATATGATAACCGCACATCAAAAACGTGATCATGATATATTGGAAGAAATTGGACGTTTAGAAAAATTGGAAAAAATTGCTGCCGACTTGATTAAACAAATACAAACATGTGAAGATAATTTGGAAATAATTAAAAAACAAATTGTTGAAGAAGAAAAACAAGTATTAAAACAAGACCCGTTGAAACCAAATTTTAATATTGATAATATACAGAAAAATCTGTTGGAAGAAGAACGTAGAATTGCTAATATGTATGATGTTTTGAAAATATTAACCGAAAATAAATATCATGCAACAAATTCATTACGAAATCAAGTTGATTATCTATATGATAAATGGAAAAATTTAAAATTAAATTTCGAAAATAATGTTGTTAAAGTATTGAATGATCGTAAAGAAGCTGCATTGAGACGACCAAAAACCGAAGAAGAATTGATTAATGAAAATGAACATTTTCGTTTTCTACATGATTGTATACAGGAAATATTGAAAAAACGAAAATATCTTGAAAGTTTAAATATTGGTGATGATCTGAATACAATACAAAGACGTTTTGAACAATTCCAGGATGAACAAAAAGAATTGAAACAATTTCAATTGAAAATTGATGAATGCCATAATCGTAAAATACATATTAAACGTGAAGAAATGCCAATCTATAATAATATGTTGGATCGACTACGTACAGCATATGATGAAACAACTGGTTTCGTACGACAAAGAATCGATCATCTTCAATCATTATTAGATTTTGTTCGTTCGGCTGAAAAAGAATTATCTTGGATTAAAAATAAAGAAGAAATTGAAATTGCACGTGATTGGTCATTAAAAAATCATAATATTGAAGAATTATCTAAACAACATTATAATCTAATGAAAGAAGTTGAATCACATGAACGTGAATTTAATAAAGTACAAGATAAAGGTGATAGTTTAATCAGGAATCGACATCCAAGTACAAAATTAATTGAAAATCTTATGGCTAAAATGCAATATAATTGGTCATGGTTATTACAATTGATTAATTGTTTTGAACAACATTTAAAATATACTGGGGATTATTATAATTTTATGGATGATGTTAATCAATCAAGAAAAATGATCAATTCGATTGAAGATAAATTAAATTCACAATATAGTCGTCATCATTTAACGATTGAAGAAGGTGAAAAAATGATACAAGAAATGAATATTTTGAAAGAAGATATTAGTAAAATTGGTCAAACTATTAATGATCTTGAAGATAAAAGTTCAACAATTGTAAATTTGAAACAACGAAAAGCACCATTACCAAATCCAATTAAAATAAAATCATTATGTATGATTAAACATGAAAAAGGTACAATATCGAAAAATGAAATGGTTACATTATTGGATAATTCACAAAGAAATAAATGGAAAATTGCTGCACCGAATGCTGGTGAATTAGCCATACCAAGTGCATGTTTTATTGTACCACCACCAGATCCAGATATATTGGATGAATTAAATGAATTGAAAAATAAATTAGATTTATTGATTGGTTTATGGGCACAAAAACAACGTGAATTACGTCAAAATCAAGTTCTTGCTTCGTTGAAAGCCGTAAAAGATATTGATTATCCAACATATTGTTCAATGGATCCAAGACAATTGGATAAAATTATGCATAGTCTTGAAGATGATATAAATAAATTAGCACGTGAAGGACCACCAGATGATCCAATGATCCGACGGCTATTGGATGAATTTGATGATATTAAGAAAAAATTTGCCGATTTTGAAGCTAGACGTCGTCAAGAAGAAGAAGATAAAAAGAATCAGGCAATGATTCAAAAATTTATTGATTCTGCTAATGATTTATTGGAAAAATTACAGGAAAAAGAACGTATTTTAATTCAACGTGCACAGAATCAAATTCCACGTGAAATGTCTACATTGAAAACATTAATCGATGAACATGATGAATTTGAACGTGATTTAAAACAATTTGAATCACGTATTAATGAATTAAAACAAGAATATACTAGAATTCATAGTAAATCACATGCTGCCGAATCAAAATATGTTACTATTATTGATACATGGGAACGTGTTTGTAAAATGTCTAAAGATTATAGTGAACGTTTGAAAGCTTTGCAAACAGTATTGGATGATGTTGAACAAGCAAGATTAACATTGAATGAAGTACAATCAAGTTTAATTTTACATGAAGAAATACCAGCCGATGAAATTGATTTAAATCAAATGTGTAATGAATTACGTAATCTACATAAACAAACCAATCAATATAATGATGCATATGATCATTTATTATCAAATGTAACAAAAGTACGACGTTTAGTTGAACGAACCCGACCAAAACAAACAACACATACCGATTTAAATCGTTTGGAAGAAGATGTTAAAACATTATATAAAAAATGGAAATCAGCATCCACACAGATTGTTGAACGATTATCAACACTTGAATTATGTAGTGAATTATTGAAAAAATATCGATCATTAATGAATGTAGAGAAAAATTGGCTTACACAAACAACTGCACGTGTTAATACAGTATTAAATCGTAGTGATTTGGATTATGTTTCGGTATGTAATTGATCAATGTTTTTTTTTTGTTGTTTGATTAATGAGCTTAATTTGTTTTGTTTTTTCAATTTCAGAAACTTTATGAAAGTATTGTCGAAAGAAAATCTGCAATCGATGATACCAATTCGGCTGGAAATCGTTTTATTCATGAAGCCCGATCATTGATGCAAAAAATCAAAATCTATCATGATAGTTTGGATGATTATAATGTTGAAATCAGTGCCAAACGACCAAGAAAATATGCTGGTGTTGAAATTGTTGAACAAGAATTAGAATCATTGAATAATGATTATAAAAATCTTTTGGATAAAGTATTATCATATTTAAATCAATTACAAGATGATGAAAGTCGTATGCGTGAATTTGTAAGTAAAAAAAAAAATATTTTTTTTTTAAATTTACTTTGTTTAACCCAAAAATAACTTTATTTAATGTTACTAAAAAAAAATTTACTAACAAAATTTTCAATATTGTTTTCAGCCATCTATGGTTAAAAATGATGAACAACTTGAAAAAGGATTATTGAAAATTGATAGTTCTATGGATTATAATCAATTGATTAGACCATTAGATTTAAATAATAGCCAATCTATTTTAACATTGGATAAGAATAGTTTATTATGGAATATTATAAGGAAAAAATATCTTTCTGCAGATTACAGATTGATAAGGAATCCTTCATTGTTCGGTAATGAAATGATGTTTATGAGAAAATTTCGTAATTTTTTTATGAATCTTAATGATTCGGATAGAAAAATTTTATTACAACGTTTAAAATCATTAGGATATTTATCGGATAATGATGATGTGGAATCATTATTAATGTTAGGAGAAATTTCATTTCAAAGTGGACCTTTTTCTGAAAAATTTTTGAAAAATTTAAGAAAAAAATCTGGATATCTTGGAATAGAATCGAATGCTAGGAAAGGTCAACATAGATTTTTAAAAGGAAAAAATTCACCAACTTTTGATTCAAATGAATCGGACCAGATTTCTATTGAAGAAATACCTTCTTCTTCTTCTTCTTCGGATGAATTGATTCAACAACAAAATGATGCTGCTGATGGCCATAGTTTTGATAAGGATTCAAAACTTGGGTCTAATAATCATCGTCCACTTTGTACTATTCTATTGAAAGATTTAGACCGGTTTCTTGGTCTCTCCGATGATAATGATGTAATGTACAATCTTTTTACATCCATAATTTTTTTTCAGTGATAAGTGATTGATGATTGTATCGATGACCTTTTCCATTAATTTTTTTATGTAAAAAAAATGTTTACTAAATTTTGTTTCCGAAATATTTTCTTTACCCTTCCCCCTTCCCACCACACGATAGAATTCCATCGCTGACAAACTAAAATATTGGCTTGATCAAAAAGAGAAATTAATTTCCGTACTTGGTCCAATTGGTTCGGAACCATATGTTGTCAATAGTCAACTAAGACAAATTACAGTAATGAAAGATGAATTTTCATCACAAGAACACCTGTTGAATAAAATGGATAAACTTGGCCAATCGATTTTGGAACGAATGGATCGTACTAATCCATATTATAGTGAAGTACAAAATAAAATGAATGATATACATAAAACATGGAAACAATTATTGGCTATTTTGGAAGAACGTGAAAAAAATCTTTTACTTGTCAATGAAGCATCAACTGATTTCCAGAATAAATTATCAAAATTACAGAAAAATTTGGATACAATTTCCGATGAATTTGATAAAATTGTTAATTCAAATTTGGAAAAAGATGAACAATTATTGAAGATAACAAATTTGGAAGAAAATCTTGAATCACAAAGACCATTATTGGCTGAATGTAGTAATGCTTGTAATAATCTTATCAATCTACTTACGGATAATGCATCGAAAAATGAAATCAAAGATAAATTTAAATATGTTGAAGCAAAATATAATGATCTTTCAAGAAAAATTAGCAATAAAAAAGCTGAATTACAATCAACAATTAAAGAAGATCGTGAATTTTTCATGTCATGTGATCAACTATTAGAATGGCTTCGTAATATGTTGAATACATTATCCAAAGATATAAAAGTATCGGCAATTTATGAAATTGTTTCGAAACAGATTCAAGATTTTGAACCAATCTATCAACAAGTACGAGATAAAGAACATGAAATTCATATGGTTATAAATCGTGGTAATAATCTGTTGAGTCGTAGTTCAGCATATCGTGCTGAAACATCAAATTGGCGACAAACATTAGACAATATAAAACGACAATGGAATTTGGTTGAAAAAGAAGCATTGGAAAAAAAATCTAAATTACATAAATGTTTGGATATTTGTCGTGAATTTAATGCTAATTATAATGATTTGTATCCACTGTTGGAACAATATGATTCAAAATTACAAAGCTTTAAAGATGTACCATTGAATCGTCAAGATTTAGAAAATCGTTTGAAAGATATACAATTTCTTAAAAGTGATATCAATAAACGACAACGTGATTTTGATCATATACGACAATTAGCTGATCAATTAATATCGATTGCTGATACGGATAAAGATCATGTAAAAAATCGTATGAATCAATTGAAACAATTATGGGATCGTGTTAATTCAGAAGTTTTGAAACGTTCACAGATTATTGATGCAATTCTACATAAATTAATTGCCTATCAAAATAGTATGCGTGATTTTAATCAAGCAATGCAACGTATTGAAGATAAAATGGTATCACAAAATGCATTTACCGATCAAAAATTAGTTGATCGTATGAAAAGTCTTTTGGATGAAGCTAAAAGTCTTCGTCATAATTTGGATCAAGTAAAAACAAATGCACGTGAATTGATTAATGAAATTAAAAATGAAAAATCCGCTAGACAAATTGAAAATGAAGTACATGATGCTGAAGAACGTTATCGTGCATTATTGGATAAGCTGGATAAAAAATGTAAAAATCTTGATGCATTAGCTAATAATGTTAAAACATTTACAATGAAATTGACTGAAATACAAAATCAATTAAATCAATTGGAACAACAATTGAATAATATGGCACCGATTGCACGTCATCCAGATATTCTTCATCAACAAATGGCTGAAATAAAAGATTTTCGTAATGATTTGGATAAAGTACAACAAAAATTAAAAGAAGCTGAACAATTTTATAAAAATATTACCGATAAAGATCCATCATTTGATAATAATATGTATCGTTATCAATTGGATAATATGAATAGACAACATGCACGATTAGATGATGCTAGTCGTCAACGTATGAATAATATACAGAATATGATTGATAAATTGAAAGGATTTTATGGTGATTATGATGATTTGGATAAAAATTTGAATAATGTAAGCAAACAAATTGATAATTTGAAACCGATTAGTCGTGATGTTGATGCTATTCGTGCACAACAAAATGAATTTCGTAATTTGAATGCAAATGTTATCGAACCATTAGCAAAACGTGTTGATGATTTACTTCGTAAAGCAAATGGCTTGATTCAATCAGCAATGCCAGGTGTCGATACCAGTAAATTAGAACAAGATACCGATAAATTGAATAGTAAATGGAATGATTTAAAAGAAAAAATTAATGATCGTGAACGAAAATTAGATTCTGCTATATTACAAGCAGGTCGATTTCAAGATGCAATGGATGCATTTGAAAAATGGCTTAAAGATTCTGAAAATATGTTGGCCAATCAAAAACCGCCAAGTTCAGATTATAAGGTGCTTAAAGCACAAATACAAGAACAACAATTTATTAATAAAATGATAAATGATCGTGAAAATAGTTTAAAATCATTGCGGGAAATGGGTTTGGAATTTATGCGAAATTTAGATCATAATGAAAAACATCATGTTGAAAATCAACTGAATGATCTAACGAAACGTTTTAATATATTGAAAAATAATTGTGATAAACGTTTGGATTTATTGAAACAAATTTTCCCAATTGCCAAAGATTTTAGCGATAAAGCCGTTCCATTACAAGAATGGTTAAATCATACTGAACGTAAATTAAGTCTTTTGAAACATTCACCTATCGATCAGGATAATATTAAAAGTAAAATTGCTGAACATCAAATGTTACATCAAGATGTTCTTAATCATAAAAATGAATTTGAACGTTTGACTGAAATTGCACAAAATCTAATCAGTCTTTTGACCGATGATGAAGCACAAATAGTGGTGGATAAATCAAAAGAATTAACCGATCGTTATGCTAGATTGGTTGAAGATAGTATTGATTTTGGTGAAATTTTAGATGAATCAAGAAAAATTTTGGATAATTTCCTTAGTAATTTTGATGATCTATTCAATTGGATTGATCGAATGGAACAACGTGTTAATAAACATAAAAATTGTGCAATTACTGTTGAAAAAATACGTGAACAATTGGATGATTTACATGATATTCAACATGAAATTCAATCAAATGAACCCCGAATTTATGAAATATTTAATGCAGCACAATCATTAAATCGTGGTGATTCATTAATGATTAAACAAAAAACTGATCAATTACAATTCCGATTCAATGAATTGAAACGAAAAACATCGGAATATATGAATAATTTGAAAGAAGTATTGCCGGTTGCACAAAATTTTTACAATTCACATGATAAATTAAATGCATGGCTGGATGTTGCTGAACGTAGTTTGAAAAATTTAGAATCACAAAGTTTAAAACAACAAGAATCCACTATACGTACATTGGAAAATCAAATTAATGAAAATAAATCATTATTGGATACGATCAATAATTTGGCACCACAATTTTGTAATTATACAAGTGGTCAAGGAACAGCACATATTGAAGCAATTGTTATTAAAGATAATCGTCGTTTTAATAATGTTTGTGATCAAATTAATCGACAAGTTGATAAAATTGATTCAATGAAACAACGTAATGATGAAATTGTTAATGATATTGATGAATTATATGAATGGTTTAAAGATGCTGAACGACAATTGCTGGAAGCCGAAGGCATTCCACATGAACCGAAAAAATTAACAATACTTTTGAAAGAAACAAAAGCATTATATGATGATATAAATAGCCAAAAAGGTAGAGTTCGGGATGTATTGGCTAATGTTAAAAAATTAATACGTAATAATAATACTGAAGATATGATTCATATCCGAGAAAAATCAGAAGAATTAAAAGATTTAGCTAATCATGTTTCACAATTGTGTTTGGATCGTTTGAATTTATTGGAACAAGCATTACCATTGGCTGAACATTTTTTCGAAGCTTATAATGAATTAAATCAATGGCTTGATGAAACTGAAAATGAAGCACAAATGTTAGGCGGTGCAATCAATCAAATACGTATTAAACAACAACAAGAAATTATTAATCATTTAAATCGTTCGATTAATGAACATAAACCAGTGTTGGAAAAAATGAATAAAACTGGTCAATCATTGATTAATATTGTACAAGAACGTGATGGTAAACAAGTAAAAAGATATATGGATGATATTAATGATCGTTTTAATAATCTTAAAATTAAATTACGTGATCAACAATTAATTTTGGATTCAGCGCTGCAAGAAACATCACAATTTACCGATAAATTAGATGGCCTTCTACGAACATTAATGGATTTATTGGAACAATTGAAAAATGCTGATCCAATTTCAGCACATCCAGAAAGAATCCAGGAACAAATTTATGATAATGATTCGATTATTGATGAATTAAATCGAAGAAAAATGGCTTATGAAACTATTTCCAATGTTGCTAATGATTTGATTAATAAAGCTGGTAGAGGTGATGATTCTGTTCGTGATATTGTGAATCAACATAACAAACTTAAAGATTGTTGGAATCAATGTAATACACTTTCACAGAATCGTAAACATTCGTTGGATGAAGCATTGAAAATTGCTACACAATTCTGGAATCAATTGAATGATGCAATGAAAACATTGAAAAATATTGAAAAAACAATTGTATCGGAAGAACAACCAGCTTGTGAACCGAATGCTGTTTATAGACAACAAGAATTATTGAAAGAAATCAAACAAGATTTGGATAATGCACGAACCAAAGTTGATGATTGTAAAATGACTGGAAGAAATCTGATAAAAATTGTTGGTGAAAGTGATAAATATGAAGTGAAGAAAAATATTGATGAATTGGAAAATTATTGGAATAATATTGCCAATCTGTTTAGTCAACGAGAAAAAGATTTGAAAAATGCAATGGAAAAAGCAATGAAATTTCATGAAGCACTGCAGAATTTGCTGGAATTTTTGGACAATGCTGAAGATACGTTCAATAATTTTGGTCCGGTTGCTTCGGATTTGAATATTGTTAAAAAACAGGTTCAAGAATTGACAAATTTTAAAAAACATGTTGATTCACATGTACCTGATATTGAAAATTTTAATCGATTAGCAAATGAATTACTTGAATGTGTACCATCATCACAAGCAAAAAGTATTCGTGAACCAATGAACGAAGTAAATCATCGTTGGGATGATCTTTCAAAAGCTATTGCTAATCGACAAGCTGAATTAGAAAATGCATTACTAAAATTAGGACAATTTGAACAATCATTGAATGATTTCCTAGAATGGATGGCCAGAACTGAAAGAACACTTGATGAAATTAAACCAACATTTAGTGATCCACAAGTATTGGAAATTGAATTGTCGAAATTTAAAGTATTAGAAAATGATATTTATGCACATCAAAGTACAGTGGATACATTGAATTCAGCTGGTAAAATGTTAATCGATAATGAACGTGGAACGGAAAATGCACGTGCAACACAGAATAAATTGAATAAATTAAATTCAAGATGGCAACAATTATTGGATAAAACTGAACAACGTAAACGTGAATTAGAAGAATTATTAAAAGAAGCAAATAGTTTTAATCAAGAATTATTGGATATGATTTCATGGATCAATGATATGGATAATGAATTAAGTGTATCGAAACCTGTTGGTGGTTTACCTGAAACAGCACGTGAACAATTGAATCGTTTTATGGAAATTTATCAGGAAATTGATTCAAATCGTTTTAGAATTGATTCATTGATTGATCGTGGTAATGAATATATTAAACGATCAAAAGAAGCACCTACATTACAGCATAATGTTAAAACATTGAAAACTAAATGGGAAAATTTATTGGCCAAAGCAAATGATAAAAAAATTAAATTAGAAATTGCATTAGCTGAAGCTATTGATTTTCATGATTCATTTAATAAATTTGTTGAATGGTTAACTGAAGCGGAAAAATATTTGAATAATCTTCAACCGGTTAGTCGTGTTATTGAACGGATTACCAAACAAATTGAAGAACATAAAAATTTTCAAAAAGATCTTGGAAATCATCGTGAAACAATGATGGAATTGGATAAAAAAGGAACACATTTGAAATATTTCAGTCAAAAACAGGATGTTATTTTGATTAAAAATCTTTTGGTTAATGTACAACATCGTTGGGAAAAAGTATTAGCTAAAACAGCTGAACGTTCAAGAAATTTGGATTATGGTTTCCGTGAAACAAAAGAATTTTATGATGCATGGAATGATTTAATGAATTGGTTGAATGATTTGGAAAAGAATTTTGATTCAATACAACAAATAAGTAATAATTCGGATATTATTCGACAAATGATTCAAAAACATCGTGAATTTCAACGACAATTAGGTTCAAAACATTCACAATATGATGCAACGCTTAAGATGGGTAAAAATTTGAAAGAAAAAGCACCGAAAATTGATGTACCAGTTATACAGAATATGATTGATGAACTTAAGAATAAATGGAATTCTATCTGTAACAAATCAGTTGATCGACAACGTAAATTGGAAGAAGCTTTATTATTTTCTGGACAATTTAAAGATGCTATTGATGCTTTATTGGATTGGTTGGATAAAGCTCGTGAACAATTGCTTGGTAATTTATCTGTTTATGGTGATTTGGATACAGTTACTGCATTGGTTGAACAGCATAAAATTTTCCTTGAAGAATTTAGACGTCGTGAAAAGAATCTTCAATCGGTACATAGAATTTCGGATGAACTGAGAAAATCTTCACCAAATGATGATTCGTATAATATTCAGGCTGAAATTACTGTCATTGATGAAAAATGGAAAGAAGTTGAACAATTAAGTCGTGAACGATCGATTGAATTGGATAAAGCAATGATTGAAGCTGAAAAACTTCATAAAGCAGTTAATATATTGCTTGAATGGCTTTCAGATGCTGAAATGAAACTTAGATTTTCTGGACCAATGCCTGAAGATGAAAATGCTACACAGGTACAAATTTCCGAACATAAAGTATTTTTGGAAGAAATGTTAATACAAGAGAAAAATAAAGAATCAACAGTAAAAATTGCTCAAGATATTTTGAATAAATGTCATCCAGAAGCTATAACTGTGATCAAACATTGGATAACAATTATTCAATCAAGATGGGAAGAAGTTAATTCATGGGCTAAACAACGTGAACAACGTTTATATGATCATCTTGAATCATTGTTAAACATTATGGATTCATTGGAAAAAGCATTAGCTTGGCTGATCGGTTCAGAAGCTGCTTTATTAGCTGCTGAAACACAACCATTACCTGATGATAATATTGAATTGGATAAATTGATTGATGAACATGATCGATTTTTGGATGAATTGGAAAAGAAAGGTTTGGATGTTGATAAAATTGCCAAAACATTTGCTATCAAAAAACAAGCTATAGCTGGATTAAAAACTATTGATCGTAAACGTGGCCAAGGACCACGATCATCTACACCGATAAAAATTCCTTCCAATGATTTTGGTTATGATGTTAAACAACCTAAAGTTAAAGAGCTACTTGAAAAATGGAGCAAAGTAAATAAATTATCACAAGATCGAAAGAAAAGATTAAATGATAAACTTGATTATAACAACGAAATGGAACGTATTAAAAATTTTGAATTTGATGATTGGCGACGATCATTTTTAGGTTGGATGAGTGATAAAAAAGCAAGAATTAGTGATTTTTTCAAAAAAATTGATTCAAACAATGATGGCCGTGTAACGAAATCAGAATTTATTGACGGATTTGTTAAATCAAAATTTTCGACAAGTCGATTAGAAATGGAAAAAGTTGCCGAAATTTTTGATCGAAATAATGATGGTTATGTTGATTCAAAAGAATTTAATGATACACTTCGACCTGAACGTGATTTACCAAAAACCGAATCGGAAATTATTCAAGATGAAGTACAAAAACAAGTTGACAAATGTTCTTGTATGGATAAATATAAAGTATCACAAGTTGGCGAATGCAAATATCGAGTAAGTCGATTGAATTTTAACAATGAATTTATCTAATGATTAATTTGATTCTAGTTTGGTGAATCCCAAAAATTACGACTTGTCCGTATTCTACGTAGTACGGTTATGGTACGTGTTGGTGGTGGTTGGATTTCTTTGGATGATTTTCTTAAAAAATATGATCCATGCCGAGGTAATTATCATATTGTGCATTCCAATTGCGATAATTTTTATCATCAATTTTTTTTGCCATAGTCAAAGGTCGAACCAACATTGAATTACGTGAACAATTGGCAGCTGATTTTGACACAAAAAATAAATCATTATACAATGATGATGGAACTATTTCATCGGTTGGACCAATTACCAAAGTAAGTTTTAAGATTAACCTAAAATTTTTTGTTTTTGTTTACATTTTTTTTCAAATTTTTACAGATTAAAGAAAAAACTGATCGAAGTCTTCCTATGAATTCACAGGATCAAGTTCGATTCAATTCAACAATCACTAGTGATTATAGTTTTAGTGATCATGCTGATAGTTCTGGAGCAAAATCTCGTCCACGAAGTCGATTAACAATTTGTATGTTTTTACAACAATCAATTTATTCAATTTTATTAATTTTTCTTTGGTTTTTTTTCTGCAAATAGCTTCGAATAGCCGACCAGGAAGTCGTCATTCAAGTCAACCACCAAGCCGTGCTGGTAGTGATCTATCAATCGATAGTTTAGATATCAGTAATCCTAAAACAACAGGTACCACTACTACATACAAGTATTCGGTAAAAACTACTCGAAAACCAAATTCCCGTCAAGGATCATATACTAATCTTCGAGATTTTCGATTTAAATGAAAATTTTATTAAAATACACAATTTACAATAAACTCGAACACTCAAAAAAAAGACAAAATACAAAAACAAAATTATTATTATTATTTTATTCGTGATACTTTTAATCTAAAAACAAAACAAAAAAATTCGATGTGCCGTAAAAAAACCCTTCATGTAAATAACAAGTTGCTGGAAAAAAAATAAATATGAATATTTTAACTAACCGAATTTTTTTTTTGATTTTTATCATTTTATTTATTGAAAATCAATTATTCTATTATAATTACGATATTTAGAATTAATAACATCGATCCAATTTGTAATTAATTGATTAAACATAATGGATAATTCAATAATTCCACCGACAATAGCACAAAGACGTACTAAAAATTTCCAAATTGGTAAATTATTTTCAATTACATCAATTTTTAAGCCTTCAATTTCATATTTGAAATATATTCCCGGAACACCATGTAATCCAGCTTCATGATTAACAATTATATCACGTTCGGTTACTGAATATTGATAGGTTTCACCTTTATATGAAAATGTTTTAACATTTGTTAGGACAACTTTTAGATAATATTGATATAGATGATAATCTAAAATAAAACGAAAATAAAATGATTATAAATTCAAAAAAAAAAATCTGACTAACTTGAATGAGTAATCTTTTCAACGCCATCTAACGTATTGACAGTATTGACCATATCACCAAAAGAAAATTTTTCAATACGATGTGAAAAATTCACGGCTAAAAATTTTTTCATTGATTGAATCAAGTTTTTTTTTGAAAAAAATATCAAAATCAATAAAAATACTTACATTTTTCATAATCAATCAAAGATAAATGAGCATGTCCAATCGGTAATGGTAGATATTTACCAGCAGCAATATGAAAATTTCCAGAAACTTTATTTACAATCAATGTACCATAAAGTCGACATGAATCAAAATTTCCATCAATAGATTCTTTACGAAATCTAAACAATGGAAATTGATTGTTATTATTGAAATTATCATCATCATTGTTTTCGTCATTATTGTCATTATTATATGATGATGATGATGATGAGGAAAGTGTATATGGTTTCCAAATCATTCGATGTATATTATGATGTTCATCACGAATAAATCGACTTAGTTTTTTCATTTCATTCCATTGATTTAATTCGATACCGGACAATTGAAAATTTGTTCCACTTTCTTTAAGATGACCATAATTGTACATACTATGTTTGTTAGTCGAATCCATGACATCGGCACCGACGTCTATTATTTTTTTAAAAAAGAATTTATATTTTTTTTAGAAAATTCTTAAAGAAACGGGTTAATATTTACTTGAACAAGGTGTTGCCACTGTTATGTCTACATTTATGTTCAATTTCCTTTGATAAATAAAATTCAGTCACAAAAACAACAAACAATAAAAGGGGTTAAGCATTATTTACTTATCAAATACTGTATCGACTGAATGATTATAGATGACATCCGAATCAAGATAATCAAAAACTTCAAAAAATAATACTATAATGATGAAAATATAGGTGAAAATTGAGACTAGAAAATAAGAAAATTTTCATTATCAAAATTGATGAAAAAAATTAAAAAAAAACTAAAACTAACCAGTACCACCGGCCACTGATGATCTTGTAAAACAAGAATCGATCTTAGGAAAAATGTCCAATTTAGATAGAAAAGAAGATCGATCCATAATTTCATTTTAATTAAATTTATTTTGAAAAAATTTCAATTGTTTGAAAACTCATTGTTTTGAAACGTGTAATTTGGCTGAATTTTATATGTGTACTGGGTTTTATGGATGGGAAAGATTTCAAAATTCATCGAAACGCGCTCTCATTTCGCGAAAAAAAGGAATTTCATTCTTTAGCATCAGCTATTCCACCATCCGTGATAGCAAATGTAGCTTCACTCTCGGCTAAATCAGGACTATCATATATTTTCACGACTCTTGTATCACCACGACCTTTTTTCAAACTCAATCGAACTGTAGAAGCATGAGCTAAAATGTGACCACCGATTGGCTTTTTTGGATCTGCCTGAAATGACATTGTCGAACCAGGATCGGCTGTCATTTGATTGGTGATAAATATAGCTATGTTATATTCTTCGGCTAGTTTCTGTAATTTGGACAGATATTGACCCAATTTTTGTTGCCGATCAGCAAGTTCACCACGACCACTATAATCGACACGAAAAAGTGCCATCAATGAATCGACTACAAGCAATTTATAAACACCGATTTCTTCATGAAATTTTGCAGCAACAGCATCTGAAAAAAATCGATCATTATATTAAGTCGTATATCAAGAATTATCATACCAAGAATTTCATGTTGATGTTCACTTGTATATGCCCGAATATATAAAACATTTTCCAGTGCGGCCTCCAAGTCCAACTTGAATCGTTCTGCAATTTGTCTGAAAATGAAAAAATGATTATTCCCCATAAATCTTAAATGAAAAATTACCTAAGTCGATTTGGACGAAATGTATTCTCAGTATCAATGAAAATAGCTTTTCCACCACGATAATTATCCGATGTAACTTGACATGTTACTAAAAGACTAAATTAAAATCTTCATATTCATATTGAATCACTTACTGCAAAGAGTATGAGATAGTTGTGTTTTTCCACAACGAAATTCACCAAACGCTTCTGTGATAGCCATACTTTCGATACCGCCACCTAAAAGAGTGCTAAATGATTTTCACCATTATTGATCTGAATAAAATAATATCATCATGAAAAAAAGTTATCATACTCAAATTCTTGACAACCAGTCGATACTTTGAAAACCATTTTTCTTTTTTCACGGAATTGTGATGCAGTCATAAAAGTAAATTCGTTACAGATTTTTGCAGCAGCTTCTTTGATTTTATCGACTTTAGCTTCACTCAATCCTTTGATTTGAATTAACTTTTTCTTCATATGCATATTGATTCCTTTGATGGTACAAATCCCAGCTGCTTTCAACTTTTTCGTATCAAGAGCGTTCTTAAAATAAAAAACAAACAAAAAATCATTTATTATCAGTCATTCAGTAAAAATTTATTTATAATTACAATTCCATATTCATGAAGTTGGTCTATATCATGATACCAGTTTTCAACTTCCTGTAAAAAACAAAAAAAGTATAAAATACTGTTTTTAGTAAAAAAATATTAACCATACACTTTCTGATTGAGTTTCAATTTGAGTTTGAAGTTGACTCGATTTTTGAAGTTGTTTCAAAGCCATTTCGGATTCAATTGTTTTGACAAAAATTTCATGAAAATTTTCAACCGAATGATAAATAATCGAACGGATATTTTCGAACGTTCGAAAATAAAAAATTCAAAAATGACGTTATGTTCAACATTCGAATGTTATCAAATTTATTTATTTATTTGTATTTTCTTAATAATTTTTGATCATCAATAAAATTGGAATGTAAATAAATTATAATACAAATATTTATCAATACAAAAATGATACTAGAATGACAAAGTAAATTAAGAATATTCCATTTACGAAATTCAAATAGATAAGCAAATAAAAGCCATTGAAGAATGGCAAATGACCATATCGAAAAAATATTGAACCATTTTTTCCATGATATTTTCAAAAATGGAACAATAAATGGTAATAAACACATATACCATTCAAAATATTGTGCTGTAATTACTTTGTTCAGTGTAACAAATAGATAAGTCTGTAAAAATAATGCCATACAAATGTTTGATTTTAAATTGATTGATTTAGTTGTACGTTGATTATAATAAATTGGTACTATTATTGTTGCCAATAACATTTGTGGTAGAAAAGCCATCAGTCCGATAATTTTCTGTGTTTTAATATCATCAAATAATTGAAAAAGGTAAAAATATGGACTAAAATTATGTTGAAAATCTTGTCGATAAAAATGATATAACCATGCTTCGTCCAAATAGATTGATCCACATGATAAATAAGATAAATAGGTAGGAATTATTAAACCGATCAAAGTAGATATGAGGAACATTATTTTCGAAGAATTTGGTAACAATGAACCGAATAAAGATGATTTTCGTTCGGATAATGCTAGATAAAATGTTGAAGCATAGATTATCGGATAGATTTTAAAATGAATGACAAAACCAAAACATAATCCGGCCAATATGTAACGTTTTTTATTGAAACAAAAAATGACTAATAAAACTAATGTACAGATTAATGATTCGGAACTTCCTCTTGTACTAATTATCAAAGTTAATGGATTATAAAGCCACAATAAATAATGTCGACAATATTTTCGATCCATTATATTGTAGATTAGAATGCCAACAATTATATCAAATATTGAGAATAATAATTTTCCAAATTGAGCAAACCAAAGAATATTCGGTGTCATTAATAATGCTAAAATCGGTGTATAACGATATGTTGGCCTTTGGAATGGTGTTGAACCATTCAATATCGCCTGAGCACCATCAGTAAAAACAACATAATCAATATCAGTGTATTTAACATCTAAATAGCTATCTTGAATTTCACAGAATAAAATAAGAAAAATATGTATAAAAAATGAAATTAATGAATGAGCAAATGGCCCAAGATTTAAAAATCGTTGCCATAACATGATGAAACAAAAATGATGTGGTGTTCCAAAATGGATTTTTTTTTATTTTATCAACGATGATGATGATGATGATGGTAATAAAAAATTCTTGGAGTTCGATTAAAAAGATTCTTTACGGATACATTCATAATATACGTTTCGAATTGTAAAAAAATGCAATGTGGAAATTTCACCTGAGTGTTTTAATGCCATGTTTTTTTTCTGCATGCTTGTAACATATTAGGAAATTATTTTTTTCATTATTTTTTAATCTGAAGAATTTTTACAAATATTTATTGTTGATTAATTTTTGTTGTTGGCCACAATGAATTCATCGAAAAATAATGACGGTATGTATTGAAAAATCTTGTTGCTTAAATGTCTAATTTTAAAAAAATTTGAATTTTTTCTTTTTTTCTAAATCTCCCGGTATAGCAAACAAATCACTTGTTGTTTATGAATCACATACAGTATGGATGAATAATTTATTACAAAAATTAGGATTAATTGAAATTACTGAACAAAAAACCGAAAACAATGATGATAATGTAATCAATGATGTTGATGTGAATGGAATCAATAATGATGATGATGATGATGATAATTCGGATAATGGTTATGATGATGATGTTTCATGTGATAATTATTTGAAAAATTTAGATCCAAAAGAATGGAAAGATCAAGATCATTATAGAGTATTGGCACTTAGTAAAAAACGAATCAATGCTAGTGAAAGTCAAATTAAAAAATCATGTAAGTACATACTTTCGAAGCTGTCATCATCGATAAATTTTTTTGAATTTTTTTTTGCTTCCCTTCTCCTTTTGTAAAAAGATCGACGAATTGTTTTACGACATCATCCGGATAAACAAGGTCAAAATATTGATTTAAATTGTCATTATTTTTCCTGTATTACAAAAGCATATGAAATTTTAAGTGATCCGGCTAAACGTCGTTCATATGATAGTGTTGATCCAACATTCGATAATACGATTCCAAATCCAACCACATATAATAAGAATAGATTTTTCGACATTTTTACACCAGTATTTGAATTGAATGCTCGTTGGTCATTGAAAAAACCAGTACCATTATTAGGTAATCAAGATTCAACATATGAAGAAATAAATGATTTTTATTCATTTTGGTATAATTTTGAATCATGGCGTGAATATTCTTATTTGGATGAAGAAGAAAAAGAAAAAGGTGAAAATCGTGAAGAACGTAGATATCTGGATAAACAGAATAAAATAGCACGTGCACAACGAAAAAAAGAAGAAATGCAACGTATTCGACAATTAGTTGATAATGCATATCAATGTGATCCACGTGTTTCAAGATTTAAAGAAGATGAAAAGAAACGACGGCAAGAACAAAAACAAGCTAAACAAGCAAGTATTAAAGCAAGAAAAGAAGAAGAGGAAAGAATTCAACGTGAAAAAGAGGAACAAGAAATGGCTGAAAAAAAACGTAAAGAAGATGAAGAACGACAAAAACGTGATGAAGAACGTAGACAAAAAGAAATGATGAAAAAAAAGACTAAAAAAGAAATAAAAATGTTGGAAACATTTTTGGAAAAAGAAAATTATTTTGCCAATGATCAATCAATAAAAATTGAACATATGAAAGAATGTGATAAAATGACCAAATTATTAACATTAGAACAAATAATAGAATTTCGTAAACATTTAGAATCCATTGATAAACGAGAAGCGAAAAAGAATTATTTTCTTTTGGAAATTGAAAAAATGAATAAAAAATTGGAAGAAGAACGTTTGGAATTGGCAAAAAATAATAATAATGCAACTATAAGTGGAACTGGTTCGACAACTGGCCCGACAACCACTTCAACGAAAAAACATTGGTCTTATGATGATGTTCAAATATTGATAAAAGCTGTTAAATTATTTCCAGCTGGTACACCAAATCGTTGGACAGTAATTGCCAATTATATTAATGATAAAACCGATTCGAATATTGTTCGTAATCATCGTGATGTTCTGGAAAAAGCTAAAGATTTACAAAAATCAAGTAAGTTTTTTTTTCTTCTTTGAATTTTCAATTATTCATTTTCATTCTTTCAATAAACAAGATGAACAACAACAAGATCTTAAAGAAGAAGCCAATAAAAATGCATTCAAAAAACTTGAAATTCATGCTACACAAAATGTTAATGTTGCTCAAGAATCTGCACCAAGTCAACGATATGATGGTAAGTAATTTTTTTTTAACCCTTACTTATTGTTACATCTTCATTTTTTTCCTTATTTCTAATAGCTCCAAGTTCAATATTAGAAGTAAATGATAATCCATGGACAAACGAAGAACAACAATTATTGGAACAAGCAATGAAAACATATCCATCAAATTTAGGTACAGAAAGATGGAATCTAATTGCCGAATGTATTCCTAATCGATCAAGAGCTGATTGTATAAAACGTTATAAATATTTAGTTGAATTGGTTAAAGCTAAAAATTTAGCTAAAAGTAAAGCAAAAAAATGATTATTTTTTTTCTCATATTATTATAATTAATTTGAATTGTAATTTCTTTTTTTTTTGTAAAAAAAATTGATTGATTGATTGATTAATTTATAAAAATTTTGATTTAAATATTTCGGATGCCAATTTTTGATCGTTTGTTGTTGTTGTTGTTGAAGAGATTTTAAATTTGTTTGCCATTTCCTGGATTTTCAATCGTCGTTTTACATGCGGAAATTGAAAGCTATATATAGCAAACGACGAAAAAAGAAAACTTAGGAAAAAAACAAGGAATCTGGTTTTCAAATCGTTGTTACCTTTCAGTATTCATACGTCGACGTCTAAACAAATTCAATGTAATAAGTTTTACATAAGATGCCAATAATGTTTTACTTAATAACATTCGATCAATAGTTGGATAATTGTTGAATCTGAAAAAAAATGTAGCAAAAACAAAAACAAAAATTTTATAAGCAAAATGTTTTGATTATCCAATTATTCGATTGCTTACTTATTCGTATTATTACTATTTGGCATAAAATTTAGTACACGAAATAATCCATTTTTCAATGGATGTATAGTAATGATAAAAATAAGATTCTGTTTATCCGATGAACCATCCGATGAAACATTCGAATGTTGTTCGTATACATTTTCTTTCGAAAAAAAAGAAGAAAGTTATTTAAACAAATCATCAACAGAACAAATAAACTTACTATTGAATGGTAATCGATCAAAATCATCCATTTTTTCAATCCATAATATAAATACTTTTATATCACAACCATTATTCATGAATAGAAATTCTTTGATTCGTTCATTTTGGCTTTGTAAACGATTCGTTTCGGTATAACCATTAGTATTTAGGTTAGTTGAATGTTGTTGTTGTGATCGTTGTAAAAACAATGTACGAATAGTATCATTATTTTCCATAATAAAAGTATTTAATGATAATTTTTGATTATTTGAAAATTTTTGATATTCATGCGGTGATTGTGTGGTGGCGGTGGTGATGGTCGGTGTAACAAAAATCAATTCATGTAGAGCATCATTCCAATAGAAAATACTTGAACAAATTAATGTTTCACAGGTAATTTCATTACCCAATGATTGAAGAAAATATTTAAATATTTCATTTGAATAATATTGTTGTGAATTTGCAGTAAATATATCTGATTCATTTTGAAAATTTTTAGGCACATAAAATATCATTACCATATCGTTGATTCGATTACTGATCATATCTAATTTCATCAATTGTTCAATAAATGATTGTGAATTATTATTCAATGATAATAATGAACGTGATTTAATTTGTTGTTGTTGTTGTTGTTGACCGTTTGTTGTTGTTGCTATTGTTGTTTTGAAATCAAAATTAAAATTTTCAAATTGTGATAGGATTGGTCGATATGCTTCAAAATTTTTTGTTGCTGGTATTTCATTCATATCTTTTTTCATTAAATTTATTGTTAATTTTGCTTTTTCAAAATTTAAATTTTGTTCAACTTTTTCCAAAAAATTTAACATTGTTTCATAATCCGTTTTAATTTCTTCTTGTTCATTAATATATTTTCCAATATTCAATATCATATTATCATATTTTGCCTGACTATTAATATGTTTATCATAAAAATCGGGAAAATAATTAAAATGAACGTTTTTTTTAACCAAATGTTCTTGTTTATTCAAACTTCTATATATACTGATTTCATTGCCCATATTCAATAAATATCTATTTGATATTGGTTGATGTTTTAAAATAAAACAATATTTTCCATATGCTGAACGAATAATACAAACAGTTTCACCATGACCAATTTGTTTATCCAATATTGATATTAATAATGAATTTTCAACAATAAAATAACGAAATTGATTAAATGAATAATCGGTTGAACGAATATTGAATATATGTTCAGCTATTTTAGCTTCATTAATGTCACATGGGATAATATTATTATTATCATTAGGTTCGATATCCATTTTGATTTGACTCATTAAAGTGGCCAAAAATAATTCCGCCGCATCTCTAACCCTGAGTGATGCCGGTTTGATTAATTTTTCACATTTAAATTGTTTCGTATCATCTTTCGATGATTTTGAACCAGATATTCCAAGTTCAATAAGTTTAAATAATAATTCAATACAATCTTTATCATTAACTAAATGATAATGTTCATTTATCCAAATAGCTAAACATTGATATGCAGCAACAATTGTTGTATGCATATCTTTTGAATGAAACATTGCCTTTTTATAGCATTGATTTTCAATAAAACGACAAATCTGTTGTATACATAAACTACATTTATTATTACATAATAATTTTGATTTATGTTTATGTTGTTGTTGTGAATTTGGTTTCGAACGAATTCTTCCCATTGCCAATAAAATCTCGATAGCCGTTAATGAAATATTATAATTTGAATTTTTCAATGAACTTTTACAAAGAATATCCGATATAAATGATGTTATCAATAGAAACAAATTGATTGATAATTTTTGTGCTTGCATATTATTTTGTAGATAAAAACAATTTGTTTTATTGAAAAATTCCATTAAATTAATCACCAGCGAATCTTTTGAATCAATAGTAATTTCATTTTGTATTCCATTAATTGATTGTCCATTCAAATCTTGACGATAACTAAAACAATCTTCAATTATGAATAAAAATGAATTCAAAATCATTTGTACATTAATCTGATCCGATTCATTATAAAGTGCATTAATAAATAATAGAATTAATCGAGGGAAAAATGATATAAATGTATTGCACGTTATTTCACTTAAATCATCTTTGATTGGTAAATTTTTATAATGAATTGGATATGAAAGTAATGATATTAGAATTTTAATACATGCTCTTCGTATAATAATATCCGAATCATTTTTATCCTTACGTGTTAAGAATGATTCCATACAACGAAAAAAATGTGGTATCAATATTTTTGATCCAGGAAGATCAACATCAAATAAATATATTGAATTAACAAGAATATTGCTTGATATTTGTATTTTAGTTTGTTCATTTTGATTAATATTTTGTAGATTAAATTTTAGAGCCAAATAGAAACTGGTTAAATAATTTTTAAGTTTAGAAAAATCTGGATGATTTTGCTTGCTTAGAATCAATGAAATATCTTCATCATCTTTTTTCAGACAAAATAAACGACATAATGCACCAAGTGCTTCAGCCTGTCCTGCTTCAAATAAATCCATTGAAAATTCTATATCATTATCGGTATTAGGAATGCTCATTCGATCAAATTTTATTGGTCCTTGCAATGATGATGATGTATCACTGTTGTTTGATATGGATTTTTCCAATAAATCATTAGAAATATTAGGCACACCGATAAATGCAGCTGGAAAAAGCCATTTACCAAATATATCTAAAATTGATGCTAATTTTATATGATTTTGATGAAAATTTCCCGGTAATAATGATGGTAATACAATAGTCGGCAGAACATATTGATCAATAGTATTATTTTTTGATTGTATATGATGTTGATTATTGCTTTGATTTTGACGATTGTTTGAATGTTTTTCATTTTTTGAAATTGATGAATTTGTTTTACGTTTTTCCGGTGGTGTATGCGATGATGATGATGAATAAGTTGATGATTTAGGTAATTCATATTCAATATCACTTAAATTAATGTTTGGATTACCAAGAAATATATCCACTAATGTACATAATCCTTTAATAGCTTTATGAAATATAAATGGTAATATCGAAATTAAACTAATATTCCATTCGGGATCCATTTTAGATATGATTTTTGGAAAACATAAATCAATTGGATTACCAATAATATGTAGAAAACGATACCAACATTGTTCAAGTACATTTTCACTTAATAATAAAACAATTGAATTATATTGTGAAAAATTAAAATTGAAATTATTATCCACCGGGACAGTTGATTCATGATTGTATAGGACTGAAACTAAACGTTTCGTAAGGCAAATGTTAACACGATTCCATTGTGCAATCAATGCTGGACAATGTCTTGAATTAATACAAACTTGTTGAAATGTACGCCAAAATGATGGTGATGGAAAAAAATATACACAAGAAATTAACCAACCCTATTGTTGTTTATGGGAAAAAATTTGAGACCAAAATGAAAAAGATTTATTCATTTTAATTTAACCAAAGAAAAATGAATTGACTTACCTGAAACAATGTACTAATAACACGATCAGCAATCTGTGTACCAATATCAGTTTTATCTGTTGGTGATTTTAATAGTTTTTCATTAATACCTAATAAAAATATAAGTAATTGTTCCCATGTTTTTGCATTGATTACATTATCAGATTTATTTGCAATTGTAATCAATAAACGTAATATACGATGACAAATCAATGCCTGTTTCGATATTAAATCATTAATTTGTTCAATATTGATTGTTTGTTGATTCCATGTACGTGGTAGAAATGTATTATAAAGATGACCAAATATTTTTTGACAATAAATATTTGGATCATTACGTATTGGATATGGAATGAATTTATCCTGTGAAAGGCTTGGTGATAATGAATGTAACCATTCACAATAAATATTAACACAATCACGTACAGCTTCATATTGTTCATTATCGGCTAATGGTAAACTAAGACCATAACAAATTACTTCCATTATCCAATGTACATCTTTATCATCTTGAAAACAATTTAGGAAATTTTCATTTTGTTTATTATTTGATTTATTATTAATTAAATTATTAACTAATGGTTTAATTAATGATGTAACCAATTGTGGTCCATTAACATCAGGTAATTTATTTAAAACACTAATTGATTTTTGATGACAAATATCACCAATATCGATCAAAGCATATTCGGAAAACATTTTGTTTGTTTGTTTGTTTGTTGATTTTTCATCAAAGTAAAATGGAATCAATGAAAGATGATAAATATCAAATAAACATTTCGGGTAAGATTTTCGGGTATATTTTATAGCCAAAAAAAAAACGAAGACAATTTTATTTTTTTCTGTTTACGTCAACTGCTGCTGTTGCTGCATGCAGTAAGTTTTTGTGGGGTGTAAATATGAGTATGCGCATCATTTTTCAACAAAACACAAAAAAGTTTTTTTATTTTTTTATTTGTTTGGTTCAAAACATTAACCTGCAGTATTCAATTTATTTGAAACATCTTTTATCAAATTATTAATTTCCAAAATTGGCGTTTTAAAATCTAATTCATATGATTCAAAAAGATTATTTCGATTCATTTCAATGGTAGTTAGGCCAATTTTTTGTCCAACAATTGAAATTGGACATAATTTTTGAAATGATTGATTTAATTGTGGTAATAGATGACGAAATAGATGACAAAAATTTAGATAATTTTGAAATTCAATTTTGTTCAATCCAAATTCATGTTTCCTGTGGAATAATGAAATAAAATTGATTATATGAATTATGAAATGGACAACATACTTGATATAAGATTTTAATTCAATCATAATTGTTGTGAATGATTGATTTAATATTTGAACAAATGTTGAAATTAATGCCAATGGAATATTATTACGAATTTCATGAAATAAAGCCAAAAGATTTGATTGATATTTTTTCAAAATGGGATAATTTTCCAAAGATTTCGAAAAATCATTTTGAATATCTTCAGTAGAAATATTGCCAACAAAAATATCACTTAATGAATCACAAAATTGCCGGGTTGATTTTTGTACACAATATTCGAATCGTTTTTGAAGAAAATCATTAAAAATCAGAATCAATTCCGGACGAATATCGGCACCAATTTTGTTCATAGAAAGACCAAGATAGAAACAATTTTCAATAATTGTATCAATATAAAGAATTGAATTTATCGAAACACATGATTGTAAATTTGTACGTAAAATATTTAAATATTGTTCAATTTTTACCAATAACCAACTGTTGATTATTTTCGATTGTATCGGATTATTGTTATCATTTAGTTCATCCAATTCAGGAAATATAGCCTGATATTGTGTAACAATATCAAAAATATTAACTCGAAATGATTCTGTTACTCGATTAATTTGATTTAATGCTGTAGTCGGGGAAAAAACATCTTGTTTTATATTCATAAGTCAATAGCAAAAAAAAACTTACAATAGTTTTGATTTCCTATTTCTCGGTTCAATTCTGATTGAAACCAAACGTCTCTACACTGAAAAAAAGAAACATTATTTAACAGAATTTTTCATACATGTAATACATACAGTTAGAAAATTTATACGCAATTGATTTTCATTAAAACGATCAATTTGACGAAGATATTTAATCATTTTCATACAAGTAGGTAATAAAATATTACCACTTAATTCACGAATAATTTGTGTAACCATAATATCTTTACATTTATCAACTTCATAAAGCATATTCTGAAATATGGTAGCATCTTTTGAATGTTTTGAACAAAGTTTCGAAACAAAATCACAAATCAATATAGCATCATCATAATAAAATGTTCGAATACAATTGTTTAATAATTGTGGTATTTCCATAAATTCAATCAATTGTGGATATTTTGATAACATAATTGAAACATTATTCCAACGATTTGATATTTGTTTTGTATTGTTTGAAAATTTTATACATTGATCTTTGAATTCGGGTATACCGGTGTTAAGTTGATCAAGACATGTTTCAATTGTTTGAAACTAAAAAGAAAAACAAAAAAATCAATCAAAATGTTTTTAGAAAGAATAGAAAATTCAAAATACATACATCATTAATAATTTGTTTAGTAAAATTAGAATATTTTAAAAATGAATCATAATTACTATAAACAATTTTTTGTTTATTATCTAATAAAATCTGTTTTCGTTGTTCAATTTGTTGTGGTTGTTTGGCTATAAATGATAATCCAGATGAACATAATGTTTTATAATAGATATCAGTTTCTATGCTTGCAGTTTTTGTATTGTTTTCATTATTCATGATTGATGAATCTTTGGTGGAAAAAGAGAAAAAATTATTTAAAAAAACATTTCCAATCGAAAAACAAAATCAAAACAAAAATCTTACCATTAATTGAATCCATTTCTTGTTTCTTGTTTTTTTTTGTAAAAATCGAATCATCATAACAATGTATAAACAAGGCAATCGAGAAAAATGATAAACTTTTATTGTATGATATGAGTGTTGGGTGTATGTCTGCACATTGCATACAAAATATCTGCACTCATTTTACAATATTCGCAACAGGGCTTATTATTATCATTGACAAATTTTTTTTTTTGTTTTGTTAATAGATGTTTTTTATTATAACTCTCTTTCTCTCTCTCTCAATCTCACTGCATTATCATTAACATCAATCATTGATTGTCCAATTGGTTGTAATAATAATATTTTTATTTTTATTTTTTTTCCGTTCAAGATAGAGCGCGCGATTGTGAGTGTTTGTAACCAACATTCGATTGACTCATCATCATTGTGAAAAAAAGGAAAAAATTTTTTTCCTTTGTTAAAATTATACCCAAAACAACAAACCAAACATTCGACAGAAGAAGTGAACAAAACAAAATTCTAAATTAAAACAAATCGATTGAATTGAAAACAAATTCGACATTTATATAATGTTCTGATTTGTTTGTGTTTGTGTGTGTTTGATAACCTCTTTGATGACATTTTTATTATTATAAAAATTCGAATTAATTTTTTCTTCACTCACTTTTTCTGTTCGACAAAATATATAATTTTTACATCAGCAAATTTTATTGTGACAATCTGCCCTTGGCCAAAATCAACATCAACGACGACGACAAAGGCATACGATTTTTTCTTTTTTTTTTGCTGTATTCTTTTCATCATATTTTTTTTCGGTTGTTGTTGTCGTTGATTACCGGCCAGCGATATATTATCATCATAAAGATAAATATTGTTGTATAATAAACGTATATACTCAAATAAATCCACTAATTACAAATCAATATATAGCCATTTTTTAAAAGAAAACGAAAAATGTCGAAAAAAAATTATGATCTTTTATTTAAATTATTATTGATTGGTGATTCGGGTGTAGGAAAAACTTGTATTCTATTTCGTTTTAGTGATGATGCATTTCAAACAACATTTATTTCAACGATAGGTTTGTTTTTTTACCCCAATGAATTTTATTTGTTTATTCTGACAATGTTTTTTTTCTATTTAATCAAATAGGAATCGATTTTAAAATCAAAACAATCGATTTAAAAGGAAAAAGAATAAAATTACAAATATGGTATGTAGTCTAATTTGATTATGATAATTTCAATTATCATTATTATTTTTTTATATTCAATGATACAAAGGGATACGGCTGGTCAAGAAAGATTTCATACTATTACAACTAGTTATTATCGTGGTGCTATGGGTATAATGTTAGTATATGATATAACTAATGCTAAAAGCTTTGATAATATAGCCAAATGGCTTCGTAATATTGATGAAGTAAGTTGTTGAATTGTTAAATTGATTTGTCCTTGTTTTTTAATATTACCTTTTTTTTTATTGTTTTAGCATGCAAGCGAAGATGTAGAAAAAATGATTTTAGGAAATAAATGCGATATGACCGATAAAAGAATTGTAAGTCGTGAACGTGGTGAAGCAATTGCCCGTGAACATGGTATAAGATTTTTGGAAACAAGCGCCAAAGCTAATATTAATATTGATCGTGCATTTTTAGATTTAGCTGAAGCAATTCTTAATAAGGTAAAAGTATATTTAATTGGGTATTTTTATCTGGTTGTAATCTTTATCTTCATTTTTCTAATTAAAAACAATAGCAAACTGTTGGACAGATTTTGATTGATAAACAAGATAAGATAAACATTTCCAAACCAGAATCTAAGTCATCTGTTGGAAAATGTTGTAGTTTTTGAAGCAAAACCGAAAAAACCCATGTCTTCGATGTCTTCTGTTTTCTTTTTTTCGAATTGAATTTATCCACTCACTTTTTTTTCACACACACACAAAATCTGTTCAGTCAATTCAAATTTTTTTTTAATTATGCAACATATATTTCTGCATTTTATCTATATACTCAACAATTTGTGTCAAAACAAAACGAACGACATGTAAAATTGAAATGACAAACACAAACAAACGAAAAAATTCTTGACCCTATTCTAGCTAGAAATTATCCTTTTTTTAAAGAAAAATTAGCATTTTTATAATCATCACCAGCTCTTTTTCGTCTTAACAGAAATAGGAGAAGGAGAAAAAAAGAAAATCAAATTTATTATTATTCAAAAATGTAATGTTATCAAAAAAAAGTATGTTTTCTTTTGTGAAAATTGTAAATATTGATTCAGAAAAAAAAGGTAAAATAAAAAATTACAAATTACAATTTTTTTGTTTGTTTGTTTGAAAAATAAAATTTGTTTTTAAAAAGAAAAGAAATGATATTAATGATGGTGTGATCTCTTTTTTGATGGATTTATTTTTTATTTATTGTAAATATTTTCATTAAACGATTAATCAAATCAATTGAAATCATATCCGGTTTATTATATAAAAATACCGAACTAATTACTAATGAAGCACCAATAAAAAATTGTAATGTCAATACAAAATTGAATAAATAAATTGATGCAACACATGATATGATAATTGAAATTGATGTAGCAAAACCTTTTAAAATATTATCAGCATATTTAACAACAACAGCAACTAAAAGGCCACCTTGTGCATTAAGAAATATCACCGTTAATGTTAATATTGTATAGCCATGAAAAAATCCATTTTTTTGTATTTCATTCAAATCGGTAATACAAACTTGAATCAATCCAATCGGTATGGCAATAGCACTTAATTGTATATTTCTTATCCATAATGATATATGTGAAGTATTTTTTAAAATTTTTTCAAAATAAACACCAGCAAATCCAGATAATACACATGCACTAAGTACAGCTAAAAAACCTATCAAAGTACTTTGTTCATGTGGACTTTGTGATTGTTTTGTTGTTGATTTAGTTTGTGAAAGTTGTACACATGCAACACCAATAAATAATAATATTAATGAAAACCATTGAAATATTACTAATGATCTTTTTAAAATTAAAACCGAAAACAATGCAGTGGTTAATATTTTTAATTGATATGTAACTTGACTTGTTGCTGGATCTAAATTTGCAGCAGCTACATATATTAGATTATTTTGTACATAATAAATAATAGCTGGAACAGCAACTTTTAATGTATCCATTGGTTGATTGATTACAATTTTTTTGATAACCAATAAACTTTTTCGTACACTCATTCCTATTCATTGAAAAAAGTAAAAAAAAAGAAAGATTAAATATATAATGAATTAACGAAATTATCATCAAAATAATAAATAATCAAACCTTCATCACGATATACCATAAAAATACATGTTATTAATTTAACCAATTCAGTCATAATAACAGCCGTTGATGAAATGAATGGTATTTTTTGTGTTTTTGCTGCACGCATAAACAATGTTGATGATGCATTTTGTATGGTCAATGTAACCAATGAAACATATTTTAAAATTTTTTTATTCGATTTTTTTTTATTATTATTATTAGCCGTTATTGTTGATGATGATGATGATGATTTTGATGATAAATCAGTTGATGGACGATATTTCCATTTAATATGATGTTGATGATCATTATTAATATTATGATCATCATTATTATCATTCATATTCATTTCTACAAGTAATGAATCATTTATCGATGTATTTGTTGTCGATAATGATGTTGATGAGGGTAATAAATCATCTCGAAGTTTTTCACTCATTTTCTTTGAAACAATTCTTTGAATTCTTTTTTTACGAAAAAGAAAATAATGAAATTCAATTCGATAAATTCTATTTGCAATCAATTTTATACACGGTGGGAAACAAAACAATTTTGTTTGCAAATTTTACAGAACCAACGACAACGAAAAAACCAACAACAAAACAAACAAAACAATTCTGTTGTGAGTTGTGTATTTGCTATTATTAATATTGGTTGGTTGTTGGTTTTTATCATCGATAGAGTGACGTGTTCAATTTGGATGTTTATGGCATGTTTGTGTATTTTTGTTGTTGTTGTTGTTATGTTACATCTCCAAGGGAATCCGATCACTCAAGGCTTTCATCAAACTCATTATTGTATTACTCGCTTGATCATATCAGCTGATATGATGAGAATAAATATAAAAAGAAAGAAAGAAAGAGAGATTATCCGAATTAGCATATCTTTATTTTTTTTTATTACTATGTATTTTATTTAGTTAGTTTGATTGAAAACAAAAATTATAATAAACAATGTTTAAACATTTTTAATAATATCTAAAATAATTTGTTCTAATTCTTGCATTGTTTGATCATTACGTATTGTACATTCAATATAACGACATTTTAATAGTTTAGATTTTGTTTGACATTCATTATACGATATGATACGTTTATCAATTAAATCAATTTTATTAGCCACCATTATACGATTGAAACCAATTGATTGTTTATGATTAGTATGAGGATTTTTATTTGTTGTTGTTGAATTGAATAATTTTTCAAGAATCGTTAATGATGAACGATTCGATATATCGAACAGACCGATAACAATAATTATTCGATCATTTACATTTGATGATGTTTCTGATTTTCGATAAAATTCTTGAAGAAAATTTTGATAAATTTCTTTACCCGGAAATTCAATATAAATAATTTCAATTCGTTTATTTTGATTTTTACTGTTATCATTATCAGGTTCATTTTTACTTAATCCATATGATTTTCTTATGATATTAATTCGCGTAGTTAGATTATAATCATCATAGTTTTTTGATGATAATGATGATGATTGTTGTAATTTATTGATCAATGTAGTTTTACCAACCGAATTCGAACCAATAATTAGACAATAAACTTTGATGATTTTATTATCCATTATTATTTACAAAAATGTCGAACGTTGATTTCATTCAATGAAACGAAACAATGTTTTGCTGTTTTGTTGCTTTTGGTTTTTCTGGTTGCCATTGGAAACAACAACTTTTTCAAACACGCAAATTATCATATAGTTTCACCATAATATTTAACTTTATTCTTATCTGTTTCATGTAATTTTATACAATGTAATTGTACTGGATTCGGTAAGCATTTTGCAATCTGTTGCCAAATAAACAGGCAAATATTTTCACTTGTACTAATAATGGTCGACGATGATTTATCATTGTTGTTACTACCGGAAAAATATTCAACATCCTTATCAATATATTTATGATCCAATAAATTTAAAACATTATCTTCAAGAATTTTTTTCAAATCATTTATATTCATAATCATACCGGTTTCATTATTTATTGATCCTTTTACAGTTACTTCCAATGTATAATTATGTCCATGAATATTTGTACATTTACCAAATATATTGAGATTTTTTTCTTTAGAAAATTCTTGATTAAATAAACAATGAGCCGAGGAGAATTTTTCAATACGTGTCAAATAAACTAATGGTTGTTTTTTCGATGACATTTTAAATTTTTTGTTTACGTTTGATGTTCAACTTTGTTCGTTCAAATACCGTTATATTTTACCGTTTTCTCTCTCTTTCTATATGTTGGCCAAAGAAAAAAGAATGATCCGAGCAATGACTGACTCAACCACTTTGATGTGTGTGGGAAAGAGGGCTATATCTTTCTTCAGTGTGTGTGTGTGGCATGACTATATCGACTAACGTTGTATGTATTTTGATTATGATGATGATGATGTTTTCATCAATATGCTCGATGATGATGATGATGATGATGATCAAACATCATGATTATATCCGTATTTAATTTATTTATAATTCACATTCAATTTTAGTAGATTTATAATAGATTTTTACATAATTTATAAATTGTTTACATATATTCGTGATAATGAAATTTCCATTATTTTATAAAAATTTTTATTGTTTTTAAATAAAAATTTTTAATTTGTTCGAGAAAAAATTTAATTTCGAATCGTTGTTTGTTGATACTCTTGCCTTCTTTTTTTTTGTGGATAATACGTGGCAGATTTCATCATCTTCTTTCCTTTGATCCAAAAATTTTTTTTTGTTCGTTTGGCTAAAAAAAATGGCCAGTCCAAAAACTCGTCGAATTTTATCGGATTTAAAACCAACACAAGATAATAATGTAAGATTTTCTTCTTTTTAAAAAAACGAATGTTTTGCTTTAATTTTCTTTTTTTTTCACAAAGTATTGTTTTGAATGTAATGCACATAATCCACAATGGGCATCCGTTACTTATGGTATTTGGATTTGTTTAGAATGTTCGGGTAAACATCGTAGTCTTGGTGTACATCTTAGTTTTGTACGTTCAATTACTATGGATAAATGGAAAGAAATTGAATTAGCTAAAATGAAAGTTGGTGGTAATAAAAAAGCTAAAGATTTTTTTAGTAAACAAAATGATTGGGATGATACTATGCCATTGAATGATAAATATAATACACGTGCTGCAGCTCTTTATCGAGATAAAGTATGTTTTGATTGATTTTTTAAACGATGTGAAACTGATTTACATTTTTTTTCAAATTAAAAAGATTTCCACTGAAGCTAAAGGTGAAAAATGGTCTATAGAAACATCAAATGCTGAAAATTATATACCAAAAAAGATAATTTCAAATTCATCATCATCATCATCTACAACGAATAATTCATATCAAAATCAAAATCCAGGAACAGGTGGACGAGCATTTGAAGAAAATTGGGAAGAAAATAGTTATCAAAGGTAGGATTAATAATAATAACCATGGGAAAAAAATTTTTGATTATGAAAAATTAATATTCAATAGTGGACCAAATTTTGGTGGATATTCTGGTTTTGGTTGTAATATGAGATCATCTCAATCCGATTATGGCATAAATTCTTGGGGAACATTTTCATCCGTAAGTTTTCGGGAAAAATAGTTTTTCGATTAAGTCTTCATTCTTTTCATTTTGTTTTGGTCAGACATTCTCGAATCTCACTTCAAACGCTACAAGAATGTTATCGCGTGCATCGAATGTAGCTACACAAAAAGTTTCTGAAATAAGCGATAATGTTAATGATAAAGTATGATTTTTTTTGCTTTCAAAAAAAAATTTTTCAATTTGATAACATTTTTTCCCCACAATTTTAGTTAAAAGATGGAATCAGCATCAACGATATACAAAGTCAAGTAACTGGAATTGGATCAAGAATGGCCGATATAAGTCGTCGTGGTTGGCAAGATATATCAATGATGTTTAATAAACGTTCATCATCATATGCAGATCCAAATGATTCATTTATAACATCAAATGATAATGGTTTTGGTAATGGTGGTTATACTGGTAGTTATCAAAATAATGAAAAACGAAATTCATCATCATCATCATCATCAGCGATGCCCAAATCGAACAGCAGCAACAACAACAAAACTGGTGGTAATGATTGGGAAGAATGGTGAACCTTCTCGAACCTTCAAAATACCTTTTTGAAAAAATAAATCGTGTGACCAATAAATTATCTAATTAGTTTTAACGAATTATTATTATTTTGCATAAAAAAAATTTTAAAATTTTATTTCAAAAATAAATAAATTTAAAAAAAAGGAAAAAAACACTGATTTTCGAAATTGATTTTTTGTTCTTTCCTAGCCATTATATGCAATCAATTCTAGCCATTGTCGTAATGATTCACCAAGAATCATTGGTAATGAATGAATATCTTTCAATATTACATAATATGAAAATGGAAATTTACTAATGTATGATTGAATTTTCATTGTACCATCCGTATCGAAAACAGGAATTTGTATATCCAGAATGGAATTTTTATTTACAGGATTATCAATAATAATGAACACAGTGAATACACCGATTTCTTTCAAACGCATTATAGATGAACGAATATTTGATTCACCTTCACTGAATATACCACGTCCATCCGAAACAATCAATAATAATTGATGAATATTGGATGTTGAATTGGATAGTAAATGTTTTGCTTGTAAAAACATTGATGCTGTACATTTTAATAATTCATTTGTTTTGGTTTGTGTTTGATCAAATCGAAGCTATAATTGTAAAAAAATTAATTATTAAATTAAAAGGAAAACAATTTTAATTATAAACATACCTTATTGTAAATCTTATTTATAGTTTGATCTGTAAATGGATCACCAAATGAATGTACGATACGTGTTTCTTCACCAAAACTAACCACCGACAAAAGGCCAGATTCAATTATTGAAAGTGATTTACCCAATAAAATTAACGAATCAAATGCCATCATACGTGATTGATTATCCGACATACTTAATGAATCATCAATTGCAATCAATATTTGATATTGACGTTTATTTGGTTTAATTCTTCTTAACCAAATTTTATCTTTACGAAATTGACTAGCAACATATGCAATAACTTTACGCATATTTAATCGTTTACCATTTTTAAAATCACCTTTATATTTTGAACGTTTAGTTGGTTCAAGTACAAGTTGTAATTGATTACAAAGTTCATATAATAATGGTTCAATTCTTTTTTCACTTTCCAATAGAAATTCATTATCGAGTAATTCCGAAGATGTTGTTGTTGTATCATCAATTGGAACCATTGAATGTTCATCTTCAATTTCCATTTTTTGATTTTGATCTTCGATTGCTGTTGTTCCAGTGTGAAATGATGATTCTTCTTGATAATTGACAACATTCGATGTCATTATAAATTCTCCTTCAATCATTTTTTCTTCATCATTCATTTCTTCATTTGTTTTGTTCAAATCATTTTTATTATTACTGTTACTGTTGTTATTACTAAATTTGACAATCTCTTCATTTGATTCCATATTATTTTGTTGATCATCATCATCATCATTAAGATTTACATCTCTTTCTAATGGTTTTTGATTTTTTCTGCCATCTTCTTGTTGTTGTTGTCCATAATCAATATCATAGGCAATATTATCAGCTTTTTTCTTATTTTCAACATGACGAAATAAATCTGTTTGTTCTTGTCTATTAGCTTCTTCTTTCGAATCATCATCATCTTCTTTTTTCGAATCATTTGTAATCTTCTGTCGTTTTGTTTGCAAATGTTCATCCAAATTTTCATCAAAAAGCGATCGATTTTTCTTCTTCTTAAGCATTGAAAATTTCTCTTCATCATCGTTTATTTGTTGTTGTTGTTCATTTTGTGATGTTAGTTTTCCATCATTAAGCTGTGATGAAGAACTTTGTTGTTGTTGTTGTTGTTGTTTTGATGATTTTTCATCCGATTGTTCCATTGAATCTAAACAATCTTGATTATTTTGTACATTTTGATCAAAATTTGGATAAATTGAAGAATC